TAGGTTTGGAAGGATGAAAATGATTATAAATGTCTAAGTAGATAGGAATCTTAGTAATTATACTAGATATTCTTAAAGGAATAGGAATAGAAAAAGAAGTGTCATGGAAAAAGGATGATAATCATAGGATGTAGGAGAAACTAAAGGAGAAGAACTAGAATAAGTCTTAAAATAAACTAATGAAGGAGACAAAAGAGTGGGGTTTAGATAAGTTTCTTAAGGACTAATAGTAATTTGAACAAAAAAGTTACAATGAAAAATAGAATAAGTACGTTGAATATTTATGAAATCGAACAAATTTAATGTAAGAGAAATTGTGATCGGTGAAGACAAGTCATGTGGTTAAGAAAATGAAAAATAAACATAAGAAGAAAGGGGAAAGATGTTTTTGTGAAAAATAACATCCCTAAACACTAAGACCTTATGAGAAATAAGGTTATAAACCCTATATCCTTTAATTCCGAAGGATATCTAAAAAAGACCTATGAAATATCCCTTGGATAGATTTTTTTTTTGGTTATGAAGCGATGTAGAAACAAAACATAAGGACTCGAAAATCTTTAAATGGTCATAAAAGAGTGATAGTTTGAACAAAGTTATGTTATCCAATAAAGAATAAGGTGTTCCGTTTATCAAATGAGCAATAATAAGAACAACATCCTCTTAAAATTTGATAGGCAATGATGCTTGAAAGAGAAGAGAGCGACCCATATTTAAAAAATATTGATGTTTTCTTTCAACAACGACATTTTGTTGAGGATTTCATACACAAGATTGATGATGGATAATGCTTTTGGAGATATAAAAGAGTGAAAGATGAATTTATAATCATCGTCAAATCTAATATGTTTGATGAAAACACCAAATTATGTAAGGATCAATTGGTAGAAAGAATGAATAATGGATAATACATTTGACTTATGTCGAAGCAACATAATCTAAGTGACTTTAGTAAAATCATCAACCAAAATCGGAAAGTAGTGAAAAGCACCAAGAGAAGTAGTTGAATATGAACCAATTCGAAAGGAAAAGATTTATTTTTATTATAAATAGGAAATGATAATCTTTTCTACTTTGCTAAAGGATAAACAAAAGAAGTACTTGTTATTACATTGAACAATAAAATGTTTTTGACTAATCGACTCGATTCTATCAAATGATATATGACCTAATCTACAATGTCATTTATCAAAAAATGAATAACTATTGAATTTGTCATTGATAGTTTGAGCATTGTAAAAATGTTTGACATAAGATAAAAAAACAAGCTGGAACAAGAACAACCTTGCTTGAAGATTAGCAATTCTAATTATTATCCTTGAAGAGTTTTCCTCGATCATGCAAGAATTACTAAAAAAGATTAGTTGATATTGATAATTATTAGTAAGTTTATTAACAAAAATAAGATTGAAGTAAAAAGATGAGACACGGGGAAGATCATATAGAACAAAGGATTGTGACGAGATAAACTTGACCAATGTTAGTAATAATAGCTTTGATGTCATTTGACATGTAGACTATCGTATCATACACTCGGTTTATAGGATTTGAAACATTAAAGAGAGTATGATATGTGATCGGTTGCACTCGTTACGGGTGCATGGATTACGTGAAGATATATTAGTTTATGGATGACAAGTAGATGTCATAAGAGTATTAGTACTCGTGAGACTAGAAACGAGTTGAGAATAAGATGCGAGTGGAATGGTTAACATTGTTTGAGGATTGTTAAGACGAAACTTGTGAATCTTGAATACTTAAAAAAACCATGAGCCGGAAACTTGCTTTTAAGTGAATGCAATATTAAGCACTGTGACTTGATTAGAGGAAACAGTATTGTCAACAAATGCAAAAGTATAGTCTTCTCTTTGATTAGCAGTGATATTATTGACATATTGGAAAAAAGAACCATCATGTCCAAAAGGAGCTCTATTAAATCCTTTGTTCTTAGTAAACTTGAAGTCAACGGAAAATCTAATGAGTTTGTAACACTTATCCTTATTATGACCGGATTTACCATAATAAAAACATGTAATATCCATCATTTTTTTGTTATTATTAAAGGCGACCATAGCAAAACTTTCATGAAAAGGTTGATTAATGACTTGAATAGATCTCTAAGATTCCTCTCTCGTAGCTAGATTACAAACTTCATCTAGATTGAAAAATGGCTTCATAATTAAACTTTGAACTTTAAAGCAAATGACTTGTTTAAACCATTCAAAAATTTAAACACATAATCTTTTTCATAAGTCTCTATAAATTTTTGAAAAGAATCGGTATTGCAAATTCCACAACTACAATGAGGTAAAGGTAAAGGCCTAGAGTTTCTTTACTCTTTCAATACTCCATTGAGTTAAGTGAAAAGCATTGACGATCCGAGTATCTTGAGTGATTGAGCACAAAGATCACTCGTAAATAGATCCCGAACTCATTTGGCTATGAAAATCGTTTTTTAAAACTTCTCAAATCTTCGATGTTGAATTCATGTAAAACACCATAGTAGTAATAGGAGGTGACATCCACTTTAATAACCAAGCCACAATTAGGTTATTACATGTGTTCCAAGAACCGAAGAGGAAATCGTCCTCGTTGGGTTAAGAAATTGAACCATCAACAAAACCTTGCTTGTTGCGAATTGAAAAAGCAAACATGAAAGATTTACTCCGAGTAGTGTGGTTCTCTATAGTTGGTTTATGAGTAACTTCGAGAGAATAATGGTAATTTGAATGATGAAAGAAACATGGTGAATGATAATCGCCAAGCATCGAAATTGTTTCGATCATGATTCGATGAATGATGAACTAGAAGGTAGATTGAATTAAAGAAGAATAAATACGAAACCAATAAGATCAAGAAGAACCCCAAAGTATACTAAGGCTCGATACCATGTTGAAATTGAAAAATAGTAGCAAAAATAGAATTAAATTATCAAGAGAGGGAAAAATAAGAACCGGAGAGAGAAAAGGAAATTTTGGAAAAAGTTTGTTTTGATTCAACTTTTACTTGACTAAAAAAATACATCTATTGTGTGTGTGTGCACATTAAGCTAATATTCTAACTAACTTAACAAACTAACAAACTTAGCTAATAATGACTAAGTACTACTTATACATGTGGCATTAACCATAATAACTTACACATACGACACTAATTAGTAATCAAATAAGAATATGATTTTACAAAATGCATAATAAAACATTACAAAAAAATATATTAATGTAAAATTAAACTAGTGTAAAAAAAAAATCCACATATCCTGGAAATATACTAGCTACATAAAACAACCAAGGTTAAAAATTATAAACTATTTTTCAAAAGAAAGTTATAATAAAAAATCTAAAATAAATTGAAAATTAGTAAAATAAAATAAAACATAGATATAACTTTAAAAAAATATCTAACACGTAGCAAAAAATAAGCTAAAATTGAAATTAAAACATATAGGAATTATCATAAAATTGAAACAGTCCATGTATCTACAAGATAATCACAACAACTCTTGACTAATCTTAAACAACTATCCAAACTTTAATCAAATGGATTAGAGATTATCTAAATCAATTTGAAGTTTGTGGACCATAATGAACAGTATGCAAAATTTGATGACAAGAAAGTTTAGGACCAAACTGCATCTCGTCCGTTCGTCGTGAATTCTGAAAGATCAGGCTGAATCAGGAAATGTTGCTGAAGCACAGCCAAATATTGCCGTACAGCCACAAAAATTCATTTTTGGCCTTTTTTTTCACCAAAAGATACTTCTAGGTACTTACCAAAACATCCTAAACTAAAATCAAATCTAAAATCATTTTTGAACAATTATTTTAGATCAATGTTCAATTTTATTTTTTTAAATTTAAAATTTCGAAATCACATATATTTTATTTTTAGTGACGAAATAATCTAACTTATACGTTTATGAATTTCTTGTCAGTGAGTATTTTTTTATTTAGCTGTGTTCTTTTGACAGATATGAAAGACAGATTCTTCGACGATAGCCGAATGCTCTCCATTTCTCTCTGTTGTTTTTGTTGTTGTTGTGAAGCAAGGGCGGTATAGAAATTGACAACGAATATATTTGTGTATGGTAGAACACATGAAGACATACAATGCATGTACCGTTAAATTCGGTTTAACACGTGTCACTCTAAGAGGATAAAAGGCATTGAAAGGCATCGATCTCTACAACATGACAGAGGCACTCTAGAATGACCCAGGGGCATTATATTTCAAAAGTGCCAAAAAAAGAAAAAGGAAAAAGAAAAGAATCCCATGTGACTTGAGGGTAGAGACTTTGACGCAGCTTCTTGTGTCCTGTAAAAGAGGAACCTTCATGGTCCCACCTAATTCTTCACCCTAACATATACTTACGACTTTTGCATTAAAAGCTGTTAAAGGTCAACTCTACCTCACTGTCTCCAACCCAAAAACCCTTAACTCTCTCTCTCTCACCGATTGTACCGAGTCATCAATCCAACGGCTCATCGAAACAAAAACCTTTTGACCTTATCCCTTCCTCCCTCTATCTTTCATTATTTTACACGCTCTCCAACCGGTTTCCATCCCGTTACGGGGACCCACCTTTAAAGAGGTAGTCAATGTTCTGACAAAACTTCCACGTGGCAGAAACCCATTAGGTAATTAGTTTGACGGCAAGGTAAACAGAAAGGACAGGTTAGTGACCTTTGATGCATTTGGCATTTGAGAGAGGAGCAAAGGGTATCGGTTTGACTCTAAAAATTATATACTGAAATAAATGCTCCTTTTCCTTTATTTTATTTATTTTATCATCAATCTTTCACATTTCTCTTTTGCTTTATCTTTCCTTCTTTCATTGTTTTCTCTTGTTTCAAGTTCGGTTGAATTGAATCCATTCTATTTATGCATCTTTCTACATCTACGATAATAACAATCTCTTCTTACCCCTCTCGTCTTTTTATATACCAGTCAATCAATCTATAGAGGGAAAGAGAGATTCAATCTTGGATGGTGTAAAAGACATGGCTGTGGAGCTTATGACGGGGTATTCTGGTGATAGTTTTGCTACAAAAATGCAAGAGAATGCTGTGAGAGAAGCGACAACTGCTGGGATTCAAAGCGTCGAGGAAGTCATAAAAGTGCTCAAACAAAATCAACTTGAACAACAACAACAACAATACTACCAAGAGTTATCTGCAGCCTCCTCAAGTTCCAATCTTGGCACGGATAATATCATGGCTGTTACTGATATGGCGGTGAACAATTTTAAAAAGGTTATTTCTTTACTTGGTCGCACCACAAGAACTGGCCATGCTCGATTCAGAAGAGCCCCTGTCACTTCTCCTCCTCAACAACAAATACAAGAACCAGAAGCAGAACGGCAACAGCAAAAACAGCAAGTTCAAGAGCCAGGACCATCTGTTAGAGCAATTAATTCGCAGCCAACAGAGCAAGGCTCTGCTTTTAGAGTTTATCAACCAACCCCAATCCATCGTCTCCCTCCGTTGCCTCACAATCAGCAACAAAAGACCCTCCTGGTTGCAAAAAATGGGTTCTCAGATCGGAATGAAATGGCCACTACAATCAATTTCTCTAATTCACCAACAATTTCTGCTGCCACTTCTTTCTTGTCTTCTTTAACAGGGGAAACTGATAGCTTCCAGCGTTCTATGTCTTCTGGGTTTCAGTTTACCCAACCTTCTGCTGGTAAACCCCCTTTGTCCTCTTCTTCTCTTAAGAGGAAGTGCAACTCCGTGGATGATGCTGCTCTCAAGTGTGGCTCTTCTTCTGGTCGCTGCCATTGCTCCAAGAAAAGGTTTGTCGTCTAAACTCTTAAACACAATCAATTTTCAATTGATTAATTTTTATGAGATTGTTTGAAATTGTGTTGATTTCATTTTCATTATTCAGCAGGAAATCAAGAGTTAAAAGAGTGGTTAGAGTTCCTGCAATTAGTAGTAAGATGGCTGATATTCCACCCGATGATTATTCCTGGAGAAAGTATGGTCAAAAGCCCATCAAAGGCTCTCCTCATCCAAGGTTTTTTTTTTTTTTTTTGAGCTTCCTTGATTCATCGATTTTTAGTACATTTTGGATATCGTTGGTCCTTAAATGTTCATTTTTAGGTTCCGATTTTATTATAGATTTTTTGGGCAAGCCCTAAAATTCAAATCTTGATTGCTTTTGTTTCAATTTGTTAGGGGATATTACAAGTGCAGTAGCGTGAGAGGATGCCCAGCACGCAAACATGTGGAGAGAGCTCTAGATGACTCGATGATGCTTATTGTGACCTATGATGGGGAACACAATCACCCTCATTCATTCGATGATGCTCCTGCTGCTCTCGTCCTTGAATCATCTTAAGTCAACTAATCAATCGGCTTAGAGAAGCTCCTCATCCCAGTTCATTCACACACCCGTGTAAGACAGTAGTGCTCAGATGGTCAAGGGACAAGGCTAGTGGGTACATTAGCTGCCTAAGCAGAAAAAAGAAAAAAAAGAAAAAAGAACAGAACGTAGGATTCCTTTGTTTCTTTCATCTGGTTGAAGACCTTTTTTGCTTAGAAATGAAAAGTTAGGAATGGAGTAGATGTTGTGGATTTGGTGGGAGTTGAATCATGCAAGTAGTGGGTTTTTAATTTTTTTTTCTGAAGGTCTTATACTGGTTTCAAGATTTTTTATTTTTTTATACATATATGGTGGATCATGCAAGGTTTCCCACTTTATTTTGTTCCAATTTCCACTCATGTTATGTGCATTTTTTTATTGGTGAAAGTGAGAGGCAGTCAATGGGCATGAGAAGAACTTGTCCTTAAAAAGACATGGTTGACCCTTCATATCCAAAATAGTAATGATGCTCGTGATGGTGGATAGAGAAGAGTTTTGGCCTTTTGGGTATTGTTGTTAGGTCATTCCTTCTGAATAGTTTTCTCCTATATTCTGATTGAATTTATGATTATGAATTCATTCCTGGATTTGGGTGTTGTGGAGTATCCATAAAAACTATATGATGTGGCATAGACGACTTTTGAGAATTCACGAAGGAGACCCGCCTAAAGTAATGAAAGCATTAGAAAGTCAAAAGTGGCCGGTTGGGGTTATGATAATTGTTCCCCACCATTTCCAGTTTTTCAACGGGTTTGAAAACAACTAATCCATATAGTTTTTATCCATTACTTCCCCCATGTAATTACAAATTTGGTGTTTTTAGTTCATTTTAGCAAAATGGGGATCCATGGAGTGTCTGTGTGAACTTCTGTTGTCTATTAAAATGGACAGCTGACAGTGCGTCCTATCAACTATAAAATGGATGCCTATACTAACTGATTTATTCGTACCTATACTCGGTGCTCTTCTCTTTTAAAGCAGTGGTCTTCTTTTTATTTATCACAAAATATTGATGTCTAAATGGATCATTTCTATTGATGGGATATGCCATAAATATTCCATTTATAATAGATCTTTCTTCTATTTTAAGGGACTCGTTACTGATCTTATATGTATAAGAAAGGACCCGTTTGCTAATTTTAAAACGAAAATTAACAGAGATATTCAATTGATTGCATTTTCATATTAAAAAAAAAAAAAACAAACCCCCCGAGCACATGCATGATGCATTCACGCTACAAAAAAATTAACTTTTGATGGCATTTCATAATTGCCATTATTATTTATCTTTAGTGGTATTTATTTTTAATTTTACTGGCAGCTGTTATATATTTTTTTCAACATTGATATAAAGACATTTGTTTCAAATGCCGGTAAATTTTAATGAAACAAATGCTTTTATTTATCATAATGACTAATAAAAATAATATAATTGTCTTTAAAGTAAAATAAATTTCGCTAAACGTATATGATAAAACAATTGACTGAAATGTTATTATAATATGTACTTACGGTAACAGTCTCTTAAAAGTATTGATACAAGTACAAAACAATTGCACCAGTATAAATATGGAGCAATTGCTGCCAAAATTTTATTTGCTGCAGTGTCACAAAATACGTGCATTACAGACACAACTTTTTGTAATTATCTCGCTCAGTTTGATGGAGTAGGGTTGGTTTTTAAACTTTTATTGGAAATGCATATCAGTTTTTGTAGGATCTGACAAGTTGGAAAATGAAATAAATTTTATCGAACTCATCTGGCCCAATTTCTACGCAGGTTGAGTTGGATCTGCATGGGATAATGGATTTATTTTATAATTGCTTCCGTAAAGTTTTAATTTTTTTAATTGAAATTTTTTATTCTTATAAATTTGTTAATTGAGATTCTTCATTATAATGTCGTTAACTATTCATCATACGTGGTAAGTTAAAACTAATAATAGTTAATCGACAAAGACATATGAAAATTTTTTTTATCCACATTTTTACGTGTCAATTTTTGATTGGCACGTGGGATAAATGTTTAATAATATTATAATAAAAGGTCTCAATTAATAAATTTATAAAAATAAAAGACTTCAATCAAATTGAAAAATAACAAAGGATCACAATTAAAAAAAATTAAAACTACACAAAGATGAATTATTAGATAAACCAATATAATGAATGACTTGGTGTGAGCTTGGGGTCGAGCTCGCTACTTTGATTTTCTCTTGAAGGCAACGCAGAATAAGTAACAGAATAGATAAAGTTTTGCCTGTTTTCTTTTGAGGAATTAAATTAAAATGTTCATTAATCAAGAAAAGAAGTGGTGGCCCTTTCTTTTTACAGTGCTCGAGCATTAGAGCATCGACCAAAAAAATGAAAAAAATAATGACATTTCTTGTCTGAGTTCTCAGTTGTGATTCTAGCGGCAGCTCCTGTGTTCGTCCATTATCATTTCACTAAATCCGACCAAAAGTATCCTATTAAAAAAACTGCAAATTGGGTGTTTAATTTTGATTTTTTTTTTAATGTACAATTCGAATGTCTTTCTATTTGAATGTTTAAATTTTAAATTTTTGTTTGAGTGCTGAATTATTTTGAGACAGACAAATGTTGACTTGTTCACTGTCATATCATGATTTTTAATTGACATGTGATAAAAAATAAATTATGTTTAGATTAAAAAAGAAAATATTTTTTAAAAAAATTATAATTTGAGTGTTTAATCTTTGATTACGTTTCTATTTTTATGCCCAATATTTGATTTTTTTTCTTTTTGAGTTTCCTCGATCATCCGAAACTATAAAATACTAACATGATCGAGATCTATTAATACACATTAGTCTTTAATTGAAATATAACAAAAAATAGATCCCATTCAGAATTATTAAGAAAAACATAAAACAAATTACAAGATATTATTATCTAACCATTTTGTTTTTTACTAATCCAAGAGTTTTAACATTAGATATTCCAAACAATTCGAGTTCATTTAGCTAACCGTGGTTGGTTTTAATTTTTTTATAAAAAAATTATTGCTAATTATTTTCTTTTATAAATTTTTTAATGATTTTTTTCCTAATAAGCATCGGTATAACTCACTTTTTCTCACGTGTTAGTTAAAAAGCATCGTGTGTTGATAAATTAAGATCACTTCAATATTTCTATTATTAAACGACTTAAAAAACTCAAAAACTCACTCTCTCTCTCTCTCTCTCTCTCTCTCTCTCTCACACACACACACACACACACACACACACACACACACACACACACACACATGTATACACATGTATATATTTGGTTTAGCTCATCATTCTATAGAAATTATTTTGATATAATGTCTTTAAAATAGGAATTTAATTTTTATAACTCAATTTGTCTCTAGTTCATCTACCTGTAGAACAAGAAAAAGATAATAAATAGTGAATAATCAATAACTGAAATTAAAAAAAAACAATTTGATAATTGGGAAATTCCTAGAATACAAAGAGACTAAATTTATAAACAAAAAAAATTCAATTTATTTTCAAAAACAAATTATATTATTAAAACTGAGGAAAAACACACACATATAAACCAAATGTTAAGGATTGGAACAAAAAAATAATAAAAAATTAAATGCTCAATTTTTTTTTTTTTTTGAATAACCTAAGTCGAATGTATTTTTTTGTTCACGTATTAATTAAAAATTGCGATATACTAATCCATTTTAAATACATCAGTATTTTTTAAACAAAAAAAATCAAAATTTAAGCACTCAAATACCGATTGAACGCTTAAAAAAAGAAGACAATTTCTATATCCTACAAGGCACACATCTCAATAGGCGTTAGACGACATGCCCTGACTTGGGCCAATCCATCCAACTCATTGGAGCCTACGAAATTCATAGATATTGGACTGGAGGGTATGGCATGGGCAGAGCCGCAGTGGTCGCTTTCATTTTCGGCCAGGCTCCGTTGGATTCATTCTATTAGCCCGACGCAATTACTGATTTTTTTTTTCCTGACTCGATCTCTCAGAAATACATTTTTTATTTCTTTTCTTTTTCAATACCTTAAACTTGACAAGTTTCATAGTCTGCAGAAAGAACTGATTTAGGGCTACATAATTGAAAGCAATAAGATATTAAAGTTGCTTAAGCCTTGAACATTGGATTTTATTTTATGCTTCGAGCAAAAGAAAAGCCAATCTGATATACACTTTATTTATTCCTCCTTTTGTCATGATATAAAGCCAAGGGCTTGACTTTAGGAAATATTTGGTGTGTGGCGTGACTTCGAACGAGAGATTGTTTAATGACGTGGCTCGTATTTAAAATCACTTGTTCACAATTTTTTCTTTTTTTCCCATAATATTTATAATTTTATAGAAAAATATTCTAATACATCAGAATCACTCATCACTTCATACTCCATCCATTTAAAGAAAATCATTTATATTAATTGATAATAAATACAAAGCGATGGATACCCACTTCAACCCCCCAACACACACACACACACACACAGTATTGGAGTATTTCTTTCCGTTTGGATGGTGCAGTTTCTTAGCCAAAATGAGCAGCAGAAAGTTGATTTCTCGGAATATAAAGCTTTCAAAAGTTGGATTCCATTTAATTGTATAGGCAAGCTTTAAAAACATCCCCCTAACCATATAGGTAGTTTCAATACACCAAACAATTTTTTGTATCAATTCTTAAATTTTCAGAAATTCTCAATTAATTCATCCATATTTCCATTTAAATTGTTACCTTTTTTATAAGAAAAAAATGTAATTTTGTAGTGAATTTAAAATTTTTCCGTTAAATAAGTCGAACATATGTATTTAATAAAGAAATAAAAAATAATTTAAAAATAAATTTGATATAAAAAATAATTTAAAATGTGAGATTGTTTTTATAAAACCCTCTCGTTGCTTTCCAGCTACTAAGAGGGAGGTTGATTCTTCTTGTATTGGAATGGGCCTAAGTAATTCCTTCCCAGTCAAAATATCAAGGTCAAAGCGGAGATTGGACGGGCCTTGGACATAAGATCAATTTGCAAACTCAAACCCAAATTTGAAGAAAAAACAAACAGCAATGGGTGTCACAGTTTCAACCTAACCCACTCAACTAGGTCAGTGGCCCAAGACCAGTGTTGTATGACAGTCTACGACCCATACCTGGTCATGATTACAGTACTTCTGACATGTGGAATTTGTGCTGGTTTCTGCTTTATCCTCGGATGACGAGGATTCCAACATTTCAAGAGATTATTGGATATGCTTGTGCATTGTTACTCAATGCATATAAAAATGAAACTTATGGATAGCTATTATGATATATTTTATTTTTTATGTGAGTAATTTGTTGAAATATTAAGAGTTTAAGACTTGGGATGTCATGAAGTTTAAGGACAGGAGAGGCTGTGGCCTAAAACCTACTAAAACCAAAAGAAATAAACTTGTTTCCGTATGAGTTACACAATGTATCAACACTTACAAATCTTGTTCCTCCATAGCAGCAGGCAAATAGTAATACAATCATTAACAGTCTATGATCAACATTGATTTAGATTAAGAATATATATATACATGTGTGTGTGGGGGGTGGGCAAGTGACAAAGCCGGATAAGATTTTTCTTGAATTATGTGGGTTAGGCTTATTAGTCATGCCTCATTCTCCATTCCTAGATAGAAACAATTCTATGTTTAGCCACTCTTCAAGACTTTGATACGAGTTTCACTCAGTAAATGCGGATGGAGCGGTTTTTGCATGCACCAGAGGATTAGTCAGGGCAAAAGGTGGATACCATTATCATTTAGATAAGACGACGGATTTTTATTTTTTTTCCAAACATATTTTTTGAAGTGAAAATAGTTCTTAGGAACAGGAGAGAATCATTTTCACGGTGGCAGGTTAGAAAACAAATCACAAAATCAATTGAAGAGGCCCGAACATGATGCCAGCTGGACCCAGTGCTGGAGCCGTCAAAAGGAAATGCAAACTGGAATTCAGTGGGAAAAGGTGACATTAAAAAAATGGAAAAGGAGTGATCTTCTGCACCCCACAACAAAGAATGAAATTTTGTGGAAGGGAAATGGAACCTTGTAAGCTGCAATCTTTCTTCATAGGTTTATTCGGAACGGAAAATGGATGGTCCTTTATTCACAAAGAATTATTAACGAGTTATGGACAACTCCATCAATAAAAATTTTAAAGATGCAACAGATAAATTATTGCACTGGACTTTATCCAATAGCCGCTACCCTTATACGAGTAGGTGGTGAAAAAGAAATTTTTGCTTTGATGATTTTTTTAGAGAAAAATTCTGCTTTGCTGCTAATGCTTGGATTTCCTGGCTATTCATTTGTTAATGCTTGCTCCACTATGGCGCATGGTGGGGATCTTGCCCAAAGTAAATAATTACATTAATATGATATGAGGAAAGAAAGTCAGAAAAAGATTATCATTTGGTCATTTCATGTCATCTAGTTTTATTTTTAGGTGAGCAAAAATCAACCAATTCATTCGTAAGAAAGGGAAAACAATTCATAAACAGAACAATCTCGGTGATTCTCATGCGGCAATCTCTTTTTATTCTCTTCTTAATTTAGTTGGTTTCTCTTGGTCCAGGCACTTACTCTTATTTGCCCCCTCTTAAGCTGATAGCTAGAAAAAGAAGCATACATTAATTCAACATAAATAGAGACAGGGACGAGCAATATGTCCACACTTCTCTACGTAATCCTCACTTCTCTCATTGTCAGCACTCTAGCAATTAACACCAACAGGGAAACACTTGAGTTTCTCATTGGTAACAGAGGTAGGGGCCTAAAGAAAGGTTGCAGCTCTGAAAATCACAGGAAACATGGCGCAACTCAGTGTTCAAAATCAGTAGTTCCTGAAGCACCACCACCAGCTCCGCCTCTGAAAAAAGAACTGTTGTTGTTTGCAGACCAAAGGCTGGCTTTGGTGTATTCTATCATACAGAAATTCAAGTCCACGATCACCTCGGATCCTTTTGGCGTCACCAAAACCTGGGTAGGCTCAGATATATGCAACTACAAAGGCTTCTTCTGCGACAGCCCTCCAGATAACAAGTCTGCAACAACTGTTGCCTCTATAGACTTCAACGGATTTCAACTAGCTGCCCCTACTCTCGATGGATTTCTTGATCAACTCCCTGATGTTGCGCTTTTTCATGCAAATTCCAACAACTTTGCAGGGACTATCTCACCAAATATCGCCAAGCTTCCTTATCTCTATGAGATTGACATAAGTAACAACCTATTCTCTGGCTCATTTCCTGCAGCTGTCCTTGGTATGAATGGCCTAACTTTCCTGGACATTCGGTTCAATTTCTTTACTGGAGCAGTACCACCTCAGATATTTACACAAAATCTCGATGTTCTCTTTCTCAACAATAACAATTTTACGACGAGATTGCCGGATAATTTGGGCAGCACCCACATTCTTTATCTCACCTTGGCAAACAACAAATTCATAGGTCCAATCCCAAGTGGCATTTTCAAAGCATTTTCCTCTCTGAGTGAGGTCCTGCTCTTGAACAACCAACTAACAGGTTGTTTGCCTTATGAGGTTGGGCTTCTCAAAGAGGCCATAGTATTTGATGCTGGCAACAATAAATTGACTGGTCCGTTGCCGATCGCCTTGTCTTGTCTGGAGAAGGTGGAGCAGCTGAACTTCGCAGGCAATCAATTATTTGGAATGGTTCCTGAGATGGTATGTGAGCTGAAAAATTTGATGAACTTTTCATTGTCCAATAATTATTTCACAGCGGCGGGGCCATTGTGCAGGATTCTGATTGAGAAAGGAGTGCTTGATGTTACAAACAATTGCATCCCTGATCTTCCATTCCAGAGATCAGTAGTTGAATGTTCAGATTTCTTTGCACACCCGAAGTCCTGTCCCCAAATGTGGTCTTATACCTTCATTCCTTGTAAGTCCTTTGGTTCTGGCTCTATGATTCCTGGAATGGCTCCTTCACCTTGACGGCCTTATTATGCTCATGTTCTGACCTGGCTTCTTCATGTTTTGTACTTTTCATGATTTTGTTTGCGAAGAAAGCCATTCTTTCACTTCATTCATGATTATTCTTTGGAAACAACACTGTATTAAGTTTGCCATGTTCCATGTTGAATATTAGAAGGGCCACAACGTAGGCCCGTCTTTTCTTTTGCTAGAGTGCGAATTACATTTTCTGCTGCATAAATCTCTGATGGGCATACATTATGCCATACACTTTGGTGTGGCCATGCTGTTCGATGCATGTACAATATCATTTAGGAAGAAGTGGGGTGGCAAAGCTGGTTCTTTCAACAGTTATTACCACTTTGTTATATCATCTGCATTACATGTTTATTGAAGATGCAAATCTGGAAACACATCAAGCAGCTCAATTCTTCAAGGTTTTACTCACCATTGCTCCCTTCACTCTTTGAATTTTGATGGAGTCAGTTGAAAATTCTTCTTTTTAGTTTGTAGATGATAGTTTCTTAATTTAAAAAAAAAAAAAAATCTAGCCTTATTTCTTTTTATTTAAGGACAGTGCTAAATTTATCAACCAAATTGTCATTATTATCATTTTTTTCTATACAATTGTCAATACATCTTTTATCAATTACCAATATCTATTATATAACATATATTAGTGGATGATGCATTGGTAATTTTTTTGAAAAAAAAATAGTTAAAATATCAATTTGGTTGATGAATTTAATAATACTCTTATTTAAATCGAAAATTATTGTTTATATTTTTAATAGTAAATTAACAAATATCAATTATATTCATGGGTAAAACCCCGAACAGTGGTATGATAGTGCATTTTAAATGAAAAGCACTGATCCTAATCCTAGATGAAAATAATTGATTCTGTCAAGACCACATTTTGCCTTATGGTCATCCCCTGGCTCCCCTCATTCTACCCTAACTTTGTTGTCATAACTTTTATAACAGAACAAAAGAGTAAACTATAAATTAGTACTTCTAGTTTTCCAAAACAAATTCAACAATCTTTCTTATTTCAAAAATTAATTATTTAGTTTTTAGATCAGTGTTGACCATGATTAATTTATTACTATTTTATTTTAAAAATATTTTTATTCCAAATCAATTTTTTATTTCTTTTACTGATTTCTCTCTCTCTCTTTCTTTTTATTTAAAAAATTAAAAAGGAATGAAAAGAATTAAGTTACAAATACATTAAAAAATATATAAAAACTAATTAATTAGTTATTAAAATAAATAAAAAAACTATTTAATTCTTATTGAAAAACTAGAAGGACTAATTTATTATTTAGTCTAGCAAAACCCTACCATGTTTCAGTTTTCCGAAGAGGAAACACGGCATCGTATGATGGGAAATCAAAGCGATAAGAAAAACGAGGAGCCCTAAATTTGACCACTCTGAGTGGGAATATGAAAATATGATAGCTTCTCTCTCTGGCCCTTTAAGATGTCACTGGCATCAGCAGTTTATTTTTATTGGACATTATCTGAGACTATTCCGGATGATTATTGGTCTGGAAGGTCTCAATTGAGTCTGGGAAAGCGAGAAGACTCAACTATCCCACATTACCACATCTCCTGCTACAACCATGTGGTCCAGCTCAAAAAGTGCCCCGTTAAAGAGTAGGTTATGATTGAAAAATATACATGCTTATATTGCACAACCATGTCACTAGTCACTGTTGTTGGTTTTATTAGGCTTTAAATGCGAGTAAGGAAAACGCTGGCTCTTAGTGGGAGTTTTCTGCTTTCGTGATAAGATTTAAGAATGTTTTGGATCCAAGATATGTGTTAATCTTTTTTCTAATTTCCAACCCATGATGCCCTGTCGTTCGATAAAACTCTTGTAATTCTTTGCTAAAGATTTATCCAGATTCCAGAGCCGTCTTGGGCAACTTGTCTCCCTGACTTTTCTTTATTTATTTATTTATTTTTTTAAATGAGATTCCTCATTCTTTTTTCAGCATGGTTTTGACTTTTTAGTCTTCAAAATTTTTTGTTCCAGTTTTTTTTTAATGCCATCGATTAGTGATTGATAATTTTCCAAAATTTCTTGCTTTATAATGCCCACATATATATAAAAAATAATTTAAAATAAAAATTTCAAAAAATAGATCTCAATAAAAAAAATGTTAAAAATATAGAATTTAAATTGAAAAAAAATTAAAACTAAATAGTCAGCTTGGTTTGATATAATTATTAAAGATTTTAATTTTTTATCCAAATATTAAATTATTTATATCCAAGGATGACGTGAATCAAATTTTACAAAAAGAAATCTTGTAAAAATTAAATTAGTACGATAGTTAATCAAATTTTTATAGAACGTTCACTCATAAGATAAAGAATTCAAATCTGATTCATCATAATATATACATAACAATCATATTAAAAAAAAATAATCATAAAATTATAGTAGATGTCATTTCATATAGCTTTTTAGATAAAAATTAATATGATATGGACACAATATTTTTCTATTTAAATGTATGATATAACTCTTTTATCTTTCAGTTTTTTCCATATATATAATTAAAAGAAGTCCTAAATTTACGAGATTAAATAAAACCCTTAAATTATCCTAACTTCACGAGATTCACAATCGAATTCTTATGTGGGTATTACTATTCCAACTTTTTAAGTATTTGAAATCTTTACTTTAACGTAACAATATAGAAATTCTTTTCGAGAGAAAATTTTGAAATATTAATCTCTTTGTTGAAAAATATCATTCATAATCTTTTGGAATTAAGAAGAGGCTGAATTGGTTCACCTAAATCATCTAAAATGAGGAATGGATTGGTCTTGATAAATTATTTCATAGAATCAAGAACAGACCTAAGAAAAGAAAAATTTTATGCAGAAAAAAAAGAGTGTTAGATACTTAAAATATTGTTCCATAGGCATTGAATAAATAATTACGTCATCAATATAAACAATGTAGAAATCAGACTTTGTGTTTGGGTTGAGGTGTCTCCTAGCAGGCCACTATGTTCCTAATCATGGGTCACAAACTTAGTCTTTATGTTTGGGTCACAGGTAAATGCTCTTTCGCGTGGTTTACAAGGCTGAGTGAAATTGAGATTTTAGCCCAACTATTGGAACCGTATTTTTTGGTGCTTCCGGGCCTAAAAGTGGCCCAAATCAGTAATACTTTAAAGATTAACAGCCCATATTTGAACGAATAATCTCTAGGTTGGATCTCTTGCTAGGCTTTGCAGCATAATTCACCCAATATTGGGCCACAGGACAGTAAGCAGCCTCATCTCTGTACACAGAGAAGGGGGAGAACTAAAAACGCGATATAGCTAAAATGTTAAATTGAATTACCATTGTATGCAAATAATCAAAATTGTTATTGTTTCTTGGATTATCATGCCAATAACCACATCAAGGGCGAAAGCCCCAGTAATAGAATGAAGAGATTACTGCACAATAGGTACATCAATTTTTTTTTTCAATTTAGTATATAGATTTTATTTTTTTATTTGAATACTTCAATCTGTTCAAAACTATTAATAATTTTTTCGTTAACAAATAATGCGTCAGTTACTTTTAAAATACTAAATTATAATTCTTTCTCTTTTTATTGGAAAGAACCTTCATCTCAAATGTTCACAAGTAATGAATTTTTTTGATTAAAAACAAAAATCTTACATTTGTGTTTTCTTTCAATTTTTACACATAGACTTAATTGAGTTTTTTCTAATAAAATACTTAAATGAGTTTAATTTGGAGTTTTATAGCTAAAAAATATATATATTTTTTTTTGTCAAATTTTGAAATCATGGATTAATTTTGGAGGAAAGTTCTCTCCAACCATAAAAAAATTTAAATTGTAATTTGATATTTTAGAGGTGATGAACACTTACCTGTTTAATACAAAAATAGATAAAAATATTTGATTGATAATTTTGAAAAACCCAATATATTAAAAAAAGAGCAAAATTATAATTGGGATTTTGAAAGCGATAGATACTTTGTTAGTAACAAAAAAGTTGATTGATAATTAAAAAAGAATTTATCCTACATTCAGCATGTTGTTAATTTTTTTATTAAAATCTTCTTCTTTTTTAGTTTAATTGAAATCTTATATTCTTACAAATTTATTGATTTAGATTTTTAGTTAACTCGTCTATCCGATATGTCACGTTAAAATGAATAGTAACCAATCACGAATATAAACATATGACATGATAGGTTTCAAGTCTCACACTCTCCGATTGAAAATAAAAATAAAATAATTTTTATTATTAAACTAATATTTAGTACTTAAAAATGAATGAAAAAGACAACATTGCCCCCAATCCCATTATCCCAACCTAACTCTCTTTTTTTTCCTTTTTTTTTTTTAATTATTAAGCCTTAATTTCATTTTGTCAAACCCATTCTCCCATTCTTTTTAGCTGAAAAATTATAATTCTTAAATCACTGAAATCCTATTATCCCAAACTCAAATCATTCCTTTTCTCAAACCCGTTCTCTTTATGTAAAGAAAATTCAAGACCTGAAAATCTCTAATTTCAACATTGCCCTCGTCCTATTGTCTCAACCAAAATCGAAACAATGTTTTTGATTGTTTTGATTTGGGTTGCACATTGTGGCTCTGCATCAATCTATCTTCTGTGAAAATTCCTATGACATTCACAAGATGCACATTTGAAGGCTTCTAGGGTACCCTCCTCACTGCCCGGCATAAATTTTCTACCTCCGTCCAAATCATGTCCTCCCATGCTTGCCACGTAATTCTTCAAACACTCTCAATATCTCGTTGATGCCAAAGATGTTGTTGGAGGTGGTGATCTTGAAATTGATCTACTTGGAGTTGGTGATGTGTTTGTTGCATTTGTAATTGTAATTGGAGCTGTAGCTTGATCTGAATTTGGAGTTAGGTCAAGATTTTTTGTGAGTTTCTGATGTTGTTGTTGACGACCATAATAAAACGACTATTATTTGACGGATTGTAATTCAAGGAACTTGGCATAGCGATTTCCTTATCTTGACTTCTTAGTTCCATGAAACTTAATTTGTTATCTAAACCCTTGATTTAAATCTTAATTTCTACCTGCCTTGCCTCATCCATCTAATATAAAGAAACAAACTAGAAAAAAGAGCTAATCACTAGGTAAAGCTGGAGTAAGTTTATCATCCTATTCTCTCTTGTTGTGATTTGGACATTAATGGGAGCAAAACTTACCAACTCATTTCACTAATTTCAACTCCTATTTTCAAAGACACAGATATTGAGAAAGAAGAAGAGAAAGAGACAATAACGATGTAGAAAGAACGATGATATTAAAATGTTAAATACTATTTCGATTTGGATTGGGATAATAGCGTGGGAGCAATATTATATTTTTCTACTTATTTTTAAATACTAAGTATCAATTTACTAATATAATATGTTTTAATTTTTTTTTCAGACAAAAACCGTGGAGGTTGAGATGCACTATGCCATATGTCAATTCATGATTAGTTATTGGTAATCTTAACGTATCGTGTCAAATAAATATTTAATAAAATTATAATACGGAGCTTGAATCAATAAATTTTTAAAGATGAAAAATTTCAATCAAGTTACAAATAAATAAAAAGTCTCAACAAAAATTATTTGAACAACCGTAGAAATCAAATATGGAATAAATCCTTTAAAAAATTGATATATTCGATTGAAAAAAATAAAATTCACATATTTTATTGAAAAAAGAGAGAGAGAGAGAAGAGTTAGTGTAACATCCCGCTAGCAAACTCTTGTGATAATTAGTGATGGGTCACTTGCCAAGATCTTTGCCTTGAAAGATAAAAAAAAAAAAAAATTGAAGTAAAAGGATGGATTATTATTTATTGTATTATTTGAAATACTTGTTTATCCATACTTATTTGTAATATTCACTAAGGCTTAGATGCATTATTTTTTTCATCATGCAATGTTATTTTTATAGTTTTCAAATATTTTAAGTATATTCATTATGAAAGGTTTTGTTATATTATACTTTAGTGTCTCTTTTTAAACATTATTTTCTTAGTCCGTAAATATTTTTTTTATTTCATTTTGGTCTCTTTTTTTGTTTTATTTTGGTCACTTTTGTCCTTTCATTTTCTATTTTTAATTAAACATTTTAAGGTAAAAAAATATTTTAAAAAATAATTTACAAAATAAGTTTTTAGCCAAGAATTCAATGATTTTGACATTTTTTATACTCGTTATAAATTTTTTTAGTTTGTGGATAGAGATGAAGAAATAATGTTTTTTTATGAAAAATATAAAGAATAACCGAGTCAAACACAAAATTTTGTTTAAAAAACTATAAAATTGAACGAATTTTTATTCAGTTTTGATTTGATATATTTTGATATATGTACAATATAATACAAAAAAAAATTAAAATAATTTTTTAAAAATAATTTTATGTGTTCTATCTAACGCAATGTCATTTTTATAGTTTTCAAATATTTTAAGTATATTCATGATGAAAGGCTTTGTGATATTATACTTTAGTGTCTCTTTTTAAACATTATTTTTTTAGTCCGTAAATATTTTTTATTTCATTTTGGTCCCTCTTTTTTGTTTTATTTTGGTCACTTTTGTCCTTTCTTTCTCTATTTTTTTAACAAAAAAATTTAAGGTAAAAAAATGTTTTAAAAAATAATTTAAAAAATAAGTTTTTAGCTAAGAATTCATTTGATTTTGACATTTTTTATATTGTTATAAATTTTTTTAGTTTGTGGATAGAGATGAAGAAATAATGCTTTTTTAATAAAAATTTTATGAAAAATATAGAGAATAATCAATCAAACACAAAAATTTGTTTAAAAAATTATAAAATTGAACGAATTTTTATTCAGTTTCGATTTGATATATTTTGGTATATGTACAATATAATACAAAAAAACAAATTAAAATAATTTTTTGAAAATAATTTTATGTGTTCTATCTAATTTGGAGGATCATGTGGGTAAAAAACCTAGTTATCTACTACTCCAGAATAATGCCCGTTATAAAAAAAACTAAAAGATCTGGATGTGTGATTGTTCATTCACTCGTAGCTTTTTTTTTTAGGGTTGCATTGCTTTGTTTTCGATTTCTACTATTCATTCACTCGTAGCATTTTTTTTTATTTTTTTTATTTTTTAGGGTTGGGCTGTAGGCAATTGAAAAAAAAAAAAAAGGAGGATTGGTTTTTAGTTTCTATATGTTCTAATATGGCAATTGTTCCTCTTCTATATAAATAATTTATTTTTATTTTTTTTAATCATGAAATTAGGGGTGAAAATATATAAAAAAAAGATCATTTTTTTTAATTTTATGTACAGTTTGACGATAAATAGAATATATATGATATTTTTTAAGATTTTAGTTTGAACATGTATATTTGATTATATTATTTTTATTATTTAAAATTTATTTCTTCGATTGGTTGTTTCTTAGTAAAATTCTCATTGAGTTAATTTTTTTAATTTTATATAATTTTATTTTTTAATAAATTTGATTTTTTTTATATATGGCTTTTGAAATAAATTTTAGAACATGATTTTTTATTTTTTTAAATATATTATTATAATTTATATGATTGATTATTTTTATGATTTTTAAATGAGAATAGCGTAATTGCATATATAAATTCTGATGTGAGAGAAAGAGCTAAAAGTGTGTTGTAAATAATTTGACTTATTTTTTAAAAAATAATAATCAGTTAAAAAATAATTTGGCTCAATTTTATTAAAGTTAATAATCGATTAAAAAAACTCATAGGTTTTATTTGGTTATATATATATAACCAGAATTATTGAAATCACTTTTGTATTAATTTTTATTTAAATCTATTTCCTTCGATATATTCCATGCGATTTAAGTGAGTTTTTTTATATATTTTTTATTTATTTTATACATTTTGAATATGTTAAATACGATATATATATATATATATATATATATATATATATATATATATATATATATATATATATATATATATATATATATATATATATATATAACATTAATTATTTGTTATTTATTTTTTTATGTTTGAAAATCTATGTTTTTAAATAAAATAATTTAACTAATGTTTTGAAAAAAACATCTTAATTATTCAAATATAATTTTTTATACTACTATTATAAATTATTTTATTAATAAATATATATAAATTAAATATGTTCACTTAATATATAGATTTATATTATTATCTAAAAATAAAATATCCAATCACATCACATCATATGAATTTTTAATTATATATATATAATGATTTTATGATCTTCCTGTAACACAAATATCTACCTATTACTGTATTACATAATGTAAGCACTGTTTTGAGACATGTTAACATGTGTACTGCGTACCTAGCTGGGACAGCAATTGGCAGCCGCTGGATTCCGTAATTATCTGACAGCTACTGCGACCCGAGGACTCAAAACGAAGGCGATGACCCATAAACGTTGGGAGTTGCCTTGGTCCCTGTGGTCCTGTGGAGCTGGGAAGCGCGAGCCTATTTTTGGCTTTAGAGAAAAGGAAAAAAAAGAAATCGGGTTTTTTCTTTCCTGACATGTAAACATGCGATGGGGGCTGGCCGGTAGGTGGCATTTTTTTGAAGCTAAGTTTTCCCTTTCACGACTAAACTCCACATTTATCAACTTTTTATGACATTGATTTTTAAACGCACACCAACTAACCATATCTTGAGTTCTTGACCATTCTCCCAAAAAAAAAAAAAAAACCTACCATATCTTGACCATCCTGGCAGCATAATTTTTAGATTCAAATTCGTGACAATTGAGACGATATGTAGGCTAATTGCTGTTGAATTTCACTCAAGGATCCAGAACTAAATAACTTCAGAGCCACTCATGGATATGTTCATCACAGGAGTGAAGGAATGAAAGCCAGCACAGTGCAAATTGTCGTGTTCTATATATATATATAAGTAAAGTACAAATTGTCATGATGACATATGACTATTTCTTTTAAATCACACAGTAAAGTCGGGATCGTTAGAAGCTCCTATTGAAAAAGGACCGTCTTATTTTTTTTGTTATAAAAATGAAACTATTAACACTTTTTTTTGTGTGTATAAAATTCATTTATAATAAATGAAATATTATTATTATTAATGTTACTATATAACTAAAAAAAAAAGAGTGTTTGAACAGTAAAATCAATGTTCACCTCCTCATAGGTCACTATTCATTCATTGTAGTTTTTTTTTTATACAATTTTTAAATTGTTTTATTTTGTTCCTTAAAATTTTAAAATTGAATAATGGTTTTCACTATTCACAGTCTCATCACTACACATGTTTTTTTTTTAAAAAAAATTTTTCCTTTGATTTTTTTCATTAATTTATGTTTTTTTATTTAACCGAATGTTAAAATTTTAAAAAATCAATAATTATTTATATATATATATATATACCGACGATTATATAATATATACGATTTGTTTTTAGATTTTAGAATAAACATATACTATTCTTATTGTTTAAAATTGATCTTTTCAATTTATTATAAAAATTCACATCAAGTTAATTTTTATTCTTATTTTTTATTAAAAATTAACTATACGTCTTCCAACATAATACAAATTATTTACTATGAATATATATTTTTTAACATTATAGAACCAATTTATTTGAAATAAAACAATTAAAATATTTTTTTTAAAGGAATAAACCAATTATTCAAATGCAATTTTTAGGTTAATTTTATTGATTATTTTATAAATAAATATATACGAGATCAAATGCATATACTTGAAAAAAAATCTTCTCGACAACATCAAATAAGAATAAAATTTGATTTTTTTCATTGGTTAATTTTTATGCGAGTCTATACATTAATTGTAACTTTATTTTTTTGGATACATTCTTATAAAAAATATAATTTTAAAGTAATTTTTTTTTAAATTCTTAATTAACATTTTAGATTTAAATTATTACAAGTTTTTATTTTAGAATTTATGAATAAAGAAGAATAAATCATGTTTTTTAAGTAAAAACTTTATGAAAAATACACAAAAAAATAGTTATAATGAAATAAAAAATTAATGAAAAAAAATCATGAAATTTTGAAATATCTACCTGTAGCATTGTACGAATATTTTCAAAAATTAATCTTTTCATAAACCTTAAATAAGAATTTTTTTTCATTTATTAATTTTTGTAAAAGTTTGTCTATTAATTATAGCTTTATTTATTTTGAGTACAATATTATGAAAATTATATTTTAAAAAAATTTTTAATTCTTGACTAGTATTTTAATTAAAATTATTATAATTTTTTATTTTAAAATCAATTCATAAAGAAGAATAATTTATTTTTTGAGCAAATATTTCTACGAAATATTAAAAAATTAATTAAATAAAAAATTATAATTAAAAAATTTTAAAAATTTAAAATGATTTTATTCTACCCGATGCACAACATAGCGTGTGCAACTCGATTAGTTTTTTTACTAAGTCATATAACTTATTGATAGATATCAGCTACTTTTTTTATGGAAAAAAAAATGCTATAAGCGCTTGCCCCGCCCAACCAACTCAAAATTTTAATTTCTAGATTCGAATAAATTAATTTTTTTAGTTTTGAAAAATAAAATATAATTTTAAAGTAATTTTTTTAAAATTCTTAATTAACATTTTAGATTTAAATTATTACAAGTTTTTATTTTAGAATTTATGAATAAAGAAGAATAAATCATGTTTTTTAAGTAAAAACTTTATGAAAAACACACAAAAAAATAGTTATAATGAAATAAAAAATTAATGAAAAAAAATCATGAAATTTTGAAATATCTACCCGTAGCATTGTACGAATATTTTCAAAAATTAATCTTTTCATAAACCTTAAATAAGAATTTTTTTCATTTATTAATTTTTGTAAAAGTTTGTCTATTAATTATAGCTTTATTTATTTTGAGTACAATATTATGAAAATTATATTTTAAAAAGTTTTTTAATTCTTGACTAGTATTTTAATTAAAATTATTATAATTTTTTATTTTAAAATTAATTCATAAAGAAGAATAATTTATTTTTTTGAGCAAATATTTCTACAAAATATTAAAAAATTAATTAAATAAAAAATTATAATTAAAAAATTTAAAAAATTTAAAATGATTTTATTCTACCCGATGCACAACATAGCGTGTGCAACTGATTAGTTTTTTTACTAAGTCATATAACTTATTGATAGATATCAGCTACTTTTTTTATGGAAAAAAAAATGCTATAAGCGCTTGCCCTGCCCAACCAACTCAAAATTTTAATTTCTAGATTCGAATAAATTAATTTGTTTAGTTTTGAAAAATAAAATATAATTTTAAAGTAATTTTTTTAAAATTCTTAATTAACATTTTAGATTTAAATTATTACAAGTTTTTATTTTAGAATTTATGAATAAAGAAGAATAAATCATGTTTTTTAAGTAAAAACTTTATGAAAAACACACAAAAAAATAGTTATAATGAAATAAAAAATTAATGAAAAAAAATCATGAAATTTTGAAATATCTACCTGTAGCATTGTACGAATATTTTCAAAAATTAATCTTTTCATAAACCTTAAATAAGAATTTTTTTCATTTATTAATTTTTGTAAAAGTTTGTCTATTAATTATAGCTTTATTTATTTTGAGTACAATATTATGAAAATTATATTTTAAAAATTTTTTTTAATTCTTGACTAGTATTTTAATTAAAATTATTATAATTTTTTATTTTAAAATTAATTCATAAAGAAGAATAATTTATTTTTTTGAGCAAATATTTCTACAAAATATTAAAAAATTAATTAAATAAAAAATTATAATTAAAAAATTTAAAAAATTTAAAATGATTTTATTCTACCCGATGCACAACATAGCGTGTGCAACTGATTAGTTTTTTTACTAAGTCATATAACTTATTGATAGATATCAGCTACTTTTTTTATGGAAAAAAAAATGCTATAAGCGCTTGCCCTGCCCAACCAACTCAAAATTTTAATTTCTAGATTCGAATAAATTAATTTTTTTAGTTTTGAAAAATAAAATATAATTTTAAAGTAATTTTTTTAAAATTCTTAATTAACATTTTAGATTTAAATTATTACAAGTTTTTATTTTAGAATTTATGAATAAAGAAGAATAAATCATGTTTTTTAAGTAAAAACTTTATGAAAAACACACAAAAAAATAGTTATAATGAAATAAAAAATTAATGAAAAAAAATCATGAAATTTTGAAATATCTACCCGTAGCATTGTACGAATATTTTCAAAAATTAATCTTTTCATAAACCTTAAATAAGAATTTTTTTCATTTATTAATTTTTGTAAAAGTTTGTCTATTAATTATAGCTTTATTTATTTTGAGTACAATATTATGAAAATTATATTTTAAAAATTTTTTTAATTCTTGACTAGTATTTTAATTAAAATTATTATAATGTTTTATTTTAAAATTAATTCATAAAGAAGAATAATTTATTTTTTTGAGCAAATATTTCTACAAAATATTAAAAAATTAATTAAATAAAAAATTATAATTAAAAAATTTAAAAAATTTAAAATGATTTTATTCTACCCGATGCACAACATAGCGTGTGCAACTGATTAGTTTTTTTACTAAGTCATATAACTTATTGATAGATATTAGCTACTTTTTTTATAGAAAAAAAATGCTATAAGCGCTTGCCCTGTCCAACCAACTCAAAATTTTAATTTCTAGATTCGAATAAATTAATTTTTTTAGTTTTGAAAAATAAATTAATTATTTTTTTGTTTGTTTTCTATTATTTTTACATTTATTTTGTTTTTTTTCAAAAAATAAAAAATAAATAGATATTATAAAAAAATTGATAAGAAAATAAAATAATATTAAATTAAATATATAAAACTAAAATATATAAAAAATATTTTTTAAACCAAAAAAATTTATTTATTTATTTTTCAAAACTAAAGACTAATTTATAATTTAATATTTTGAAAATGCTATTATTTTAACTTAAAAAGTTGGGCGTAGGGTACCTAATAGTAGACAGGTGTATATATGTACGGACACAGGAAGCAATGGGTCTAGTCTTATTTGTCCATAATGGCAAGCTTAGAACGAACTGAAAAATAATTGAATAAACCAATCTTATTATTTGCTTTTGATCAATTTGTCAAAAAACTCATTGATTGTTAATTCTGTCAATTAAACATTTGTCTTTTAATTTGAAAACAATTTATCTAAATTAATAAACAATTACTCACTAAAGAAATGAGATTAGTGATAATATTAATAAAAAACAAAAGAAAATTTTATAATAATAAATGATATAATAAAAAAAATATTTACTTGTTTGAGATAAATTTTAAATTTTGAAAAATTATACTCAATTAATTAAAATGAAAAATATATGTGTTCAATTAACTAAATTGATAATTACTTTTTTTAAAAAGAATTGATGAAAACACATGTTGCACATTATAATAGATCTGGCATCTCAAATACCTAGCCAAATAATTTGGATGATAAAAAGCTTTCAATCATACAATTTACATGAAGTGGGCCCACAATTAAGAAACATCTCGCTCTAATTTCGTTGAATTAGCCTAATGGTTGTGTATTCAACCATTTTTTAGTAAAATAAAATTCGAATCCAAGAATTTTAGTTTTTTTTTAATGGTTATCTGATGAAAAACATCATGTTTATTGCGTAGTCTAATAAATTTATCAGACCTCCAATGAATAGAAAAAAAATAAAAAAGCTTTCTTTGATGAACGGCAACTCCATTGAAGTGGAGTAACATTAGAACGTGACAATGAGAGCATACTTTTTCCTTGGAATAAATGGCAAAATTTGATGGACAACTCAAGATTCATTGATATATCAACTCATTCAAATTGTTAGTTGATCACTTTACTATCAGCTGAATTCATTACTTGGCCTACTCAAGTATTACTGACTGTAAACTCACATGTCACCGTCTAAGAATGGTAGAAGTTTATAACCAATACACAATGGTAAGTGTGACTTCCTCTCAATAGCAGAGAAATCAAAAGAAAAAGGCAGTAGTGACTACCGTAGGTTAGCCTTATAGCTAGCATTGAAGGCATTTAGAAAGGCGAAAGGACACCGGAGCATTGCAATGCTTAGCAGGTGAACACCAGCTGCCAATTTTAAGACTATTATCATGCAGTAACCGTAACTATATACTGTGTATAGTACTATCAAATAAATAAAAAAAACATTAATTTACACCTCTTTTTTTTTTTCTCTTTTTCTTCACGTGATTCTGAACTTGCAGGTCCCGACAGCTGCTTCTCAGTCCTTACATGCTTTGTCACTTTCTATTGCCCTATCTATTCCATCGCTATCTCTTTCTCCTTCTGTTTCTCCTTTTTCCGGTCTTCAACCCCCATCAGGGAATGAAATGGACCAATCACACCAATCCTTTTGAATTGGAATCGAAGAAGAAATCCACAGAAAAAACCCAAACCCAAGGGGTTTTCCTTTCTGTTTCTGTTTCTGTTTCTGTTTCCCCAATCATCCTCATCCCCTGGTGTTCTACAGCAACATGCTGCATGCTTTGTTATCAGCTTCTTATTTTTTGCTCTATTTATTCACCTCAGCAGCTTCTTCTTCTTCTACTGTTCCTGCATCAAATTTGCTTGCACCACCTGATGCTTTCGCTCTTCTCGCTTTCAAATCTAAAGCCGATTTGCACAATAATCTTCTATTCTCTCAAAACACAACCTTTCATATCTGTCAATGGTCAGGAGTCAAATGCTCTGAAAGAAAAATTATCCGCCTAGTTCTCCAAGACTTGGATCTTGGTGGCATTTTCGCTCCCAAAACTCTAACTTCCCTTGACCAGCTCCGTGTTCTTGGTCTCCAAAACAACTCCTTAACGGGACCCATCCCGTACGATCTCTCTAAACTCACCAATCTCAAATCACTCTTTCTTGACCACAATTCCTTCACTGGCTCTTTCCCTCCTTCACTTCTTTTCCTTCACAGGCTCCGCACTCTAGATTTCTCTTATAACAATCTTTCCGGTCCCATCCCCTCTGGTTTAATCTCTCTAGACAGGTTGTACTATCTTCGTCTTGATTGGAACCGATTCAATGGTTCAGTCCCTCCCTTAAACCAATCCTCTCTTTTAACTCTCAATGTTTCTTTCAACAATCTAAGTGGTGCAATCCCAGTGACACCCACATTACTTCGTTTTGGCCTTTCCTCCTTTCTATCAAATCCTAGACTTTGTGGAGAGATTATACACAAAGAATGCCACCCCACATCCCCGTTTTTCGGTCCATCTCCAGCGGCAGTGACGGTGGCTCCCCCACCGGCAGTTGTGATTAGTCAAAACCAAGCATTACAAGGCATTGACTTGTCACAGCAGGGTCAAAAAACAAAGCACAAGAGAAATGCTCTTATCTTTGGGTTTTCATCAGGTGCATTTATTCTCATTGGTTCGGTTCTCTGTTTGGTCATTGCTGCCAGGAAACAGAAAAGTCATAAGAAATCGACGGCTGCGATTGCCTCTGATGGTGTTATTGGACCCATCGCTGAATCTGGGGCCGTGATGCAGATAGATCGACAAGAGAATGAGTTAGAAGAGAGAGTGAAGAGAGTACAAGGGATGCATGTTGGAAAGAGTGGGAGTTTAGCATTCTGTGCGGGTGAGGCACATCTTTATACGCTGGATCAGCTAATGAGAGCTTCAGCTGAGTTGCTAGGGAGAGGAACCATGGGGACCACTTATAAGGCAGTGTTGGATAACCGTTTGATTGTGAGCGTAAAGAGGCTTGATGCTAGCAAATTATCGGATGCAAGCAAAGATGTTTTCGAGCAACATATGGAATCAGTCGGCGGACTTAGGCATCCTAATTTGGTGCCTCTCAGGGCTTATTTTCAAGCTAGAGAAGAAAGGCTTCTAATCTATGATTACCAGCCCAATGGCAGCCTCTTCTCTCTAATTCATGGTAAACTCTTCTGCAATTACTAAACTTAGAAATATCGTTTCTGAATTACTTTTTTCAAATCCAAATTAAAGTCTTTATATTATTTGAAAAAATAATTTAAGTTTGAAATTGTATGAATAGCATTACTCTATTATTTCAGTACTTAGAACCTCAGTGAATCTGTTTTGGCTACTGGGCCCGTGATTTTCGGTTGGTCATTAAATTTAGTTTGGAGTTTACTAAATTTGTAGTATCTTTAGTTTTCCACAAAACAACGAGAATCTTGCAGCTGACAACATGGGAATTCAGGAATTGATGTTAGTTTCCCGCTTCTTAATTTCTAATTATTAATTAATTGCTTAAAAGCACTTAGTGTCATGGCAATTCGCGTTGGGAAATTTAAGAGCTGGTAAGTTGTGAGTTCCACTGGGACATGCTTTGATTGGATCCACACCGTTACCTTCTGATCCTGCGGTGCAGCTATATCCAACAGCCAGCAGGACCCATTCTCATTCTCGAAGTCTAAAGTTTGCATAAAGGTACCAATCCTACGCGCTTACTGACATGTTCACTCCACTTCCGGAGCTTGTAATTGTCGGTCAAGATTCTGATTCGGATGGATCACGTGGGTCCTGTAAGTGGATGCGACCCACAAAGGTCAAAAATTCACCTGCACAGATTATACTAGCGGGCCCATCTCATTTAGCGGTTTAGATTTCATTAGATTCTCTATTGCATCAGTTTCTAATTGGGTTAATATTTGGATGAATGTGCAGGTTCAAAATCGACAAGGGCAAAGCCATTACACTGGACCTCATGTCTTAAAATAGCAGAGGATGTCGCCCAAGGCCTTTCTTATATCCACCAAGCATGGAGGCTTGTCCATGGAAATCTCAAGTCTTCTAATGTCCTTCTTGGCCCTGATTTTGAGGCATGCATTAGTGACTATTGCCTTGCAGTCCTTGCCAATTCATCAGTTGATTATGAGGATGACCCTGGAGCCACGGCTTACAAAGCCCCAGAAACTCGCAGTTCAAGTCACCAGGCAACTTCCAAGTCTGATGTTTATGCATTTGGCGTATTATTGCTAGAGCTTTTAACTAGCAAGCCTCCATCACAGCTCCCTTTTATGGCTCCAGAAGATATGGTCGATTGGGTTAAGTCTAGTAGGGATCATCAAGATGACGGTACTGGAGAAGATAACATGCTAGAAATGCTTTTTGAGGTGGCTATAGCTTGTAGCTTGACCTCACCTGAGCAGAGGCCCACTATGTGGCAAGTGTTGAAGATGTTACAGGAAATTAAGGAGACTGTATTACTGGAGGATAGTGAATTAGACCCGCATACTGGGATGTCCTAGTCCCAGTCCCAGCCCTAGCCCTAGTTTATTACTGCGTCACAACACTAAATGAATGAATAGCGTAGAGAAATAGATTATGATATAATATATGCAATATATGCTAGTACACTGTTTTCCCTCGCGTTCTCAACCTATGCAAATTCTGCATGCGGATTTGTTTATTTCCACTAGTATGCTCTGTGGGTAGCCTTGTGCTGAAAATATTTTGTAGAGCTACCAAATTCCTTTTCTTTTTTTTGGATGAATGATTAGAGTAGCTAAGCTATATTCATGGTAGCTTATGGGGTTATCTCTTGCCATGTTGTACGGTGCATTCAAGTTGATGGTAGTGTACTGGCAAATGAATATTTTTGCATCCATGTTATGATAGATGTTGCTCCCCATGATCCGTTTGTATGGATGGTTGACAATAATTTCGTGATTCCATCAAACATTACACATTACAAGGTAGCAGAAGACGATCAAGAAGCAATGTACGTAGGTCCACATTCTATTGGTATTGGGCTAATTTAGCTCATCTGTTTTATCCTCAAAAGACAAGATCATGTGTTTATTTTAATTTTTTTAATCATGAAAGACGGTTTTGTGTTAGGTGCATGTGAACGAATTCCTTCCTTAAAAGGAAGTTGTGAAAAAGATCAATTACAGATGCCCTTTTTAGACAGAAAATAAAACTTGTAAATTAAAATAGCTTATAATACCATTGGATTAAAGCTTTTTATGCCTCATGTTTACAATTAACAAATTTAACCTTCCTTGATTCACTTCCAACTTCCAACACCACCTGCTTGATGTAAGAAAACGTACTTGAATAACAAAGTTGATTAGTTCACAACTCTCAAGGAATTGAAACCGGAATTCACCAGAAATGTAAAAAGAAGTTGGTCCATGCAAGAATAGAAGCCTAGAGAAATAGGGCCCAACACAAATGATCCAAGCCCAATAGAGCTGTTTAAACTATCAAATGAGCCCAAGCTCAATCCAAGCAGAGCAAATCCACGACCACGAATCATGTTGGGGAAATCAAACAGAGAGAGAACGAGTGACAGTGGAGAATTTGCTAGAATCGTCTAGCAAATATTAATCAAAAAAAAAAAAAAAATCCCATTGTGATATTTTCTGATTTCTAATTTAATTTCACCAAAGTAAGAACACAGTAGGATAGCAGAGGAGAGTGAGATACTACCATATATAGCAGATAGAACGACTTAAAAAGCAAAAATCTGGAGAAAGTGGTGAAATGGTAGATGCCATGGAACATCGTACAGACACAGAGATGTCAGACGTGGCGGCGACGCCGCAGCAGCATCAAGTCCCAAATGACAACAACGTAAGAGATTTGCTCACAATGGCTCGCCAACTCATCAATCAAGGCAAACCTTCTCAAGCTCTCCAAGCGGTAATTAATTAATATTTTCATATTACGATTTCAATTGTCAATTATCTTTATCTTTATTTTTTTTATGATTTCAAATGTCTGGATCATCAACAAATAAAAACACAAAGATCTTTAATTTCTTTTCTTTTCTTTTCTTCTCTTCCATCTCTAATCAGGTGAGTATTGATTCTGCTTTCTTTTTTATTTCGGTTGACAAAAGTATTATCATTCTGATGTTTAGAAGATTGATAAGTGTTTCAGGTTTTAGAAATTTAATTAATCACTTTGTGTGCTTGTCTATACGAGGGGGCATTCTTCGCTTTTTCCATATAATGCTTTTCTTTGTATTATCAAGAATTGAAATTCTGATAATTTGTGAGAATTATATACCATACCACCTTGTCTTTTCTTTTTCTTTTTTTCCTTCTTGGAAAAAGAAACTAGCAGTGCAGCATTCCTATTGTGTCTTTCTTCCAAATGACATGGCTGAAGAAATTGAAGGGTTATGTTTGCTGTAATGTGATTAAGGTGGATCAAGGCTTTAGTGAGATTTCTCTAAACGAGGCAAGTTGGGCTTTAGTGAGGAAAAAAGTCTATTTCTAATTGCTGGCAAGGGTGAGTCGCAATTTTTAGGATGATAGTTTAACTCGTTAGGGTTTCCGCTTCGTATTTTCCTTTTATGGGTGTCCAACATGCTAATCAAAGTACAAATCCATGTAATTTTAACAGCTTACTTGCAGGAGTCTTAGAAATGATGAGGGATGTGATGAGGAAGTTATAATAACTTTAAAACTACTCAACTATGTTTTTGGCTATGTCTAAAACTTAGTCATATTCATAAGTTTTGTCATCATTTTGTTGTTAATCCATTTAATCCTTTATGGATTTTAATAGGTTGGCATCTCGAACACATATATGTTTTTTTTGTTGGATAAGTTGTAAATGAGCTTTTTAATTAAATTTAGCGAAAAGTCCCAAGCTAAGGGAGACGAGGACATATCAAGTGGCTACCATAGATGATTCCCAACCTTAGGTATCTCAAACATTCAAATTAGGCTTTTTTGTTTTTCTATTGAAGGAATGTTCATCATTATCTACTGTGATATATTATTAGTCATGAATATGAGTTCCCGTGCGTGTGCTCAGATGTATGCACCCACACGGTGGGCTCACACATCACAGTTCAAACATGGTAAGTTGAAAAATGAAATTGAAAAGGGTTGATAAGTTCGTTAAAAACTCTATTTCCTTTTCTCTTTTAAATGAGGTGCTCTGATAATATTCTAGAACTTGTGCTTACCGAGTGCTTGGGGCAGGTGGTATCGGCAATGAGAACCAATGGTGGGGATCAAGCTGTATTTCAATCCTTGCACCGTGCTCGTCAGCTGTATTTGAACAGACTGCAAGAGAACACTGCTGTTGATCAACTGGCCTCTTTGTTTGCTGAATGTGCAATTGCTGAAGCCCAGCCTTTAGAACCTGAACAAATACCATTTAATGTAGCTGGCGAATCCGCTTCAGCTGTACCTGATGTTCATGTAAACTCCATACTCGCAGAAACTGGCAGGACGCAAATCGTGTTGGATGCATTCTCAGATGGGAGCAGTTTCATCTGCCTACAATGTGGTGGCCTTGTAAGTAATCATCGCAAGGATGAGCACTATGCATACTGGTGTGGCAAACTCTGAAGCACGTGAATGCGGAATGAGTTTTTGCTCCGTGATGCAGTGCTACTCAACATGCTTGATAAGCATACCACTTTCCTATATCTGCTGCATTGAACTGCATGGTTGCTTTTGAGTCGATGGCATTTCTTCATCTTCTTATATGCGGGATGTGGTCGTTACCAACCAAAACGTCAGATTCTTGACTTGATATATAGAGGACCAGTTTTGGTTTAAAATTGTGAGGGGATTGAAAAAGAAATGTACCATTGTAGAACTTTTTATAGAAAGCTTGTACTGTTTGGTGGTTAAATCATCAACAGAAATGACAACTGATGACATAGATCAATAGAGTGTATCCTGTACGTGTATTTTGCTGGTGACGTTCTTATTGTCTGGGATTTTATACTCAGATACTGCACCAGGGATTCCCCTGAAATCGAGCCAAAAAAAAAAAAAAAAGAAGAAGAAGAAAGAAAAAGAATACCACACCGGTACTCAAGTCCCTCCTCCGTCTTTCACAATGTGCCTATTCCAGATGTTGTTTTTAGCTTCAACGTGCGTCGAAAAGATTGAGAGTTTTTTCTTTTTTAGTTTAATCTGAGCAAGAGTGTTATTGCTGCTGATGGTTTACTGCAGATTAAACCTGTAATGCTATCTGTAAGTTTGAGCTTGTTGGTTAGTGACCGTTGTGACGAATTCGGTCTAGGTTTTTAATGTGTGTTTTAAGCGGAAAATTGAGCAACGCTGAAGAATAGGGGCCAAGCATTGAAGATGTGAAGAACAAGGCTTGTTTAAAGAAATTTTTATAGCAGCCGTTAGTAGATAAAAAGCTGGTTACAGAAATTGGGTTCGGAAATGTAATTTTTAGTGCAGTGTTTGAATGTGAAAGAAGAGGGTGGATTCTTTCAGCCCCCCACAGCCATAAGAATTCTCAATGACTTAAATTTACAAGTGCTAGCTCTTTCAGCCCTGATCAGAATAAGCGGTCACCAAACCAGGATCCATGCATGGCACCGAACAGAAGAGGGAGCCACCAATACACCAGTTAAAAACTATCATGTGAAACGCATATGGACGGGGTACATGTTCATTTGCCTCGGGTATCAAGAGCTTTTACCTGCGAGCGAAATGCCTCGTGTGAAAGAAGCGAATCGTTGTTAACATTTAATTGTTGACATTTTATATCTAGTTTCAAACTTTCAATCACTTATTTATCGTGATTCTTAACAGGTTCACGGTCAAAGATTGCAGGAAGTATCATACAGGGTTGATAACTAGATTTTGTTCAACAAACTAGAGAGGGGCGCATAACCATACAAAGGGAATTGAAAATAATAATAATAATAATAAAAAAAATCCATGACGGTCTAAATGAACAAGTGATCGTTGAGGTATTCTATTGATCTCAACAACAGAAAGTGGATGCAGTACGATCCTTACTTTTTGAACAAAACCACTCTTATTCTTAGATACAATCACTGCCAAAAAGTAAGGCACAGCAAATTCTCTAAACAACTGTTTTTGCTGCCAAGAGACAGAAAACGCTACAGTCTTCTTCAATCCTTTCAATAGAATCAATATTGAGCTTGTACACGATAAACATTGGAACATATTTATCTAGAACTTACAGTTACTAAAACAAAGACACCTTTTGTTATACAGAACTTTGTTATACATCTGTGGCTTCTGGAGAGGGATTTCTTCCCTTGAGAGAGTTGTTATTGACAGAATATATACCAAAACATTAGCGACACCTGAAGCAAGATGATCTTTTACTGTCATCTTGCAACTCACACCATCACACGTGTCTGCACTTCTTTTAGTAAATATTTGGGTGAACAATCGGCCGCATCAACACTGCTTTACAAGATGCTCCGAATGCAGGGACCACAGCAAAAAAGGAAAAAAAAATCCAAGATTAAGAAACTATTGCTTTTCAAAATCAGCTCATCCACAACAGCTACAAGTAGATCTCTTCAACAGCCACTCCCAGCACACTGCATGCAGTAAAAGGGGCATATTCACTATCCATAAAATTTGGCCTTGCTACCCTAAAGCTATCCAGTCATATTCCCAGGAACTAATTTGACCAACAAGGCACATCTTATAATTTCTATCAGCTGGTGTTTCCCAACAAGAAATTTCCATTAATGTAGTTACCACATGTAAAAAGATGTTTTGAGCAAGAATTCTTGGCAGGCATGGTTTTGCAATAGCCTGTTCAGAAGCATTCTGCAACTCTAATTTTATAAAGAAAATTGCAACAGTAGATTCAAGTAGAAAGATAAAATAGATGGTCAAAAGGTGTCATTGCACAAGATAGGGCCAAAATTGGATATCTTAGGTTCGCTGCACTTACCTCCATGCGTCTATAGGTGCTTTCTTTGCTGTGAGTTGGGATCATACTTATAGGTCAAAGATGAGTATCAGGCAAGAATAATCTGGTGGTGACAGAACATTATACTTTACGTGGCAGAGCCTGTGGACGAGGCTTTGCCCTTATAACCGTTTCATCACTGTGCCTGATCAATTCCGACAGTCTCCATGGTTTCTGCCACTTCCATTTGAATTGTAAAAGCCATTGGTGATGACTTCTCTTCCACCTCCATAACTTCCCACCTTGTCCCACAACTGCTAATTTTCTCATTGACAACTGCCCAAGTGGCACCATCTGAACGAACAATAAAACCCACTTTGTTAGCCAAGCAACAATGCAGATCCAGCATCCATGCCTACAATGGAAGAAGAAGAAGCAAAATAACCTTTCTAGTCTGATCTATGAATGCTGCTGACTCTCTGACAGAACCATTAGCAATTCCTGGCGTATATTTTAGCTGTTTCTGTGCTGGCACAGACACTGGAGACAGTGGACCACTCATGTCATCATTGAAGTGCTTCAGTGAATTGTGGGAGTTCCTCTGTTCTTGGTCACCCTGTAGAATTTAGCAGCAGTCATAGTTAAAACTAAGAATGATAATAATAGGTCATATGCTCTTCTTATCAGTTCAAGGATGAGGAAACCATGGTAAGCTCATGAGTCATGATATAGCTTCATAGAAGGATATGCAATTATATCACTCAAACTTCTACTCTTGAATTGGATTCCATCTCATTGATTCTATTTTTGCAGTTCTTTGTGCAGATTTTTATCCAAACTAAACAGAAGAATAGCTTTAAGAGTTTTTGAGCCAAAGCATGCAGTGGGCCGACTTATAAGAAGCACCTAGAAGATTCATGTTCTTGCAATCTTCATCATTCATGTGAGTCTATATACTCTATTGCATGCCATGCTTGCATTACTAATCCTTTACCAAACAAGGGCAAATTTCAAAGCTCCAAATTTTTCCACCGAAGTCAATAAAAGTAACACTCTAAATATTACTGGACCATCATAAGTTGTTCAATATATAAGCTAGAGCATGTAAATTTAACTTCAGTTCTGTGCTTGCCTTAAAATATGGATCTAATACACTTGGTTGTATTTTCAAGAATTTTAACTGTTATTTGATGTATGAGGAATAATTTTACTAAGGGACAATCTTACTGAGGCTGCTGTAGCCAAAGCAACCGCAAGTGCTTGCTCTCTCAATTTTAGCTCCTTTTCAACTTCTTTCCTCTGAGCTTCACTTTGTCGCAATAGACCTACAAGTTCTTTGAATTGTTCTTTCATTTCTTTTATTTCCATTTCCTTCTCCCACAGTTGACACCTGTCAAGAACACACAACTAGGTAAGCATAAATTTTACCAATCATCATAATTAAAAAACACGTAAACTGCCTCCAAATTATGTGAATTTACATGAAGCGTGTTTTGTGTTTAAGGAAGACAGTTTGAGTGCTTGCATATTGTCCATATATTTGTCTTCCTATATGTTTGGAAATAAAATAACCACAGGCAGAACCTTGCGAGTTTCAATATTATTTACTTTTTTCTTTTATGGTGAAATTTATTTCTTTGTGGCTGCCTGATTTCTAACTTTAAATGTCCATATTTCAAACAGAGCACCTTGCATCTCCCAGAGAATTAAACATATACTGAAGCAAATTCTTTGCATCTCCCATTGAACGAAGTTGATTCCAACGTCCACGGTTTGTAAATGCACGCTCTCTCTCTTCTGCTTCTGAAAGTTGTGAAGCCATAGCAACAAGTGAATTAGACGATATGCTCAACATGTTTTCGAGTGATGATATTCTGGCCATTCTCGCATTTGGTGACATCGAAGAAGCCCTGACAAGCATGAAAGACACATTAAGTTATTATGATGTTGATTTGAAGTATTGCTATTCAACCTGCTTGATGGTGCCTTATATATCAATCACTGGCAATGGAAAAGCGGAAGAACTATAAACTATTTTTACATAGCTTATACCTTGCAAATCCATTCTTTCCTCGTGGAGGACTTAATCCTTTTGAAGCAAACTCATCTACTTGCTTCAACACAGCCAACTCATCTGCCAGTGCAGCTCGCCTGTAGATTGTAGTATAATCAAAACAAACTATGACAGTAGGTTATAAAACAGATGGAATTATCAAGTATAGAATTAAGTGCATACACTTGGCTTTGCTTCTCATATTCAAAACGAACTTCATGGACATTTACCATGACCTCTAGCTCATGATCAAGCCAACGTTGTAAGGATTTCTCATTACTCTGCATATGTAAACTTAAATTCAATGAAAATGCATCGTAAGAATAACCAGACAAACATAACTCGTGAAGAGGAAGCCAAGACAATTACCTGACCATTTGCCCCATTTCCATTGGAAATAGCTGCATGATGGTAATACCATTAGTATTGTGACTTACAAAAGAAAACAAACACCGTTTAAACACCCCATGTTTTAAATAATGAAAATAGATCTACCAGCTGAAGAATTAACCATTGGCTGCATAAGCCATCGTCATAAAAAGAAAACGATCATTTTTTATGCTTTATATTGGAAAAGCAATCGTTTACCTAAAAAAAACATGGTTTTCAAGATCACAAGCCTTAAGGACACAATAGTAAAAAGCATACCTGAGTTATCTCGTGCAGGAGATTTTCGAGCTTCAAGCAGCTCTTTTAACCTTTTGGTGGCCATTGCAGCCTCTTCTGTCTTTCTTTGCAGAACCTGAAGTAAAGAAGATCATTATGACAAATAATTTATGTTACACGTTAGAGGCAGACACAAGAAACCATTGATGGTGCATGCAGTTGCTTTCATTCATACTGACAGCAACAGCAAGCGATTCTGGTGACTACCAAAAGAACTAGTTACTATTTATCCAAGCAGCTATGCTTTCAAAAAGGCAGAAAATATACCAAATACTAGTGACAAATCCAGAATCACGAATCTGTCTTATGGAAAAATATGATCCATTAGAAAAAGCACAACTGACCAGATGGGATTGGAAGTTAGAGCTTTATAAAATTAAAGTTTCTTTTCCACATAATGAGTTAAGTTCTTCAACATGCACAGTGAATTAATCAACAAGTTACTTGATCTCACCATTTTCTGGCGTTGGTTTATAGTTTGTAGCTTATGCCTTTCATATTCATTTCTTCTCCCTTCCTTCCGTAACTGCACAAGATCACCAGATGGGGTATTGAGATGAACATTATTATCAATTAAAACAAGCAGGTTATATTGGCATCATAGTTCTGCAATCTCATAAACAAATGAGAGATTTTTATAAAGTTGCAATGAAATCCAAAACGCACTTCATACCAATTGTATTATCATTTTGCATCACATCCCAGAAGTAGGCATAAATCAATAGAAAGAGCAGAAGAAGGATGGAAGATTTTCAGATCCTTGAGCAAAACAGAAAGGGAAAGTACCTGCAGTAGTTCCTTTTCTCGAGAGGCCTTCCACTGTCTGAATTGCTCTGCCTCTTGTTTGATCCTATGTTGCAACTGTACCTGTACTCTCAAATGTGTAGGAAATAAAAGAAATGTTAGCAACACATAAAATAGAAATACACTGTAACTAAAAATATGTGTAATGTTGCAAGATAATTTACCTTTTGTGCCTTTATAGATTGAATTTCATCCTGTAATCGCTTTGCTGCTTCATCACTTTTTTGTTTTTGCTTTAAAAGCTGAACTTGGTTCTCTTGTTTCTTCTTAAGATCCAGAATCTAGCAGCACAGATTGTGACGATTGTTTAAAATTTTAACATTGTTATGAGAGTAAAATTAAATGAAATTTTTATATAACATTATCACCTGTGCCTCAAGAGTTTTTAATTTCTGGGCATGGATGTCTTGCAATTTTTGCCCATCAGAACTAGCAGAAAGATTTTCAATTTCAGCCAGCAGACGGTCCCTCTCTTGCTGAAGTAAAAAGAAATGGTAAATAAATGGAAACATCCTTCTCTTACTCATACAGAATAAGCTATGGAAATTTGTTGAGTTATTTTCAACCTGCACCGTTCTTTTTTCATCCTCCACTTCCATGATTTTCTTGCCAAAGTGTTGCTTGAGAGCTGCAGTGTCAACTCCTCCAAAAGTTTCATCTCTGACTGCTCAGAGAAAAGAAAAACATCATATTCAAGATCAAGTTACTTGAATTATTCAAGAAAGCCAGTTCGCAGATGCATTATAAGCAGACTACTTAAACGATATACTCATGAACAATGACGACTCTATCTCCAAATGGGAGTGCTTTGATAGAAAGAAATGGGAAAAATAAGAAATGGATTACTAAACAGATACATTTACGAATAACAATGACCATATCTCTAAATGGATTACTTTAATAAAAACAAGTCAACCAACAGCCAATTTGAATATGCATAGGAGAAACTGCACTTTATAAATCTGAAAATGTACAAGTAAAATTTTTCCAGCTTCAGAGACTTCTGTTTCTACTTGATCCAGTCAAAATCACCTTACATGATGTCCCCCAGTTTTACAAGTTCCAGTAAATATAAGCAACAAACATTTAGAATTTCTCTGTAGCATTCCAGCCATGTCCAGTAAAAATATGTAGAAAACTCATTCAGCAGTACATTGCAGAATTTATATGCATTACCACTATCATTACTTGTACAAAATATACCTCTTTTTCCTCCAAGCGTCTGTTCAATTCATACAATTCTTTGTCCATAGTATTCTGCAAAAGTGTGTGCTCCCACTCTTTCGCTACTTCTTCATCAATTTCCCTGGAGTCGCCTGCTAAAAGTTGGAAATATTAATGTATTTAACACTGCTACAGGTGAAAAAAACCTTTTGTTTCTTTAGTAAATAAGAGAAGGAAAACGGAAAAAAAATACAGTTAAAGGGGTAGTAAAATAATTGCAATGCCTGGAAATAATAAAGGCAATCCAAGTAAGTAACTGATGACCTAGAGGAGCTTACCAGAAATAGTTTCAGCCATTTGATAATCTGGTGACTCTATGCTATGCAAGCTCCTTTTGAGTCCATCAACTTTCACAGAACAGATACTGCCATCCTGAAAGAAGAGGTTCTATATTCATGCTGTGTATTTCTGAAGGGCGAGAAAAATAATTCAAGTCCAAAATAGAGGAGTATTTATCACATACTTGAGCATCTGTTTCACGTTGCTCCACAGCAGTGCATCTGCTGCGGTATTCATGAAGTTCACGGCAAAGATCCTCATTGGCAGCTTCAAGCCAAGCAATCCTTTCCTTAAGAACCTACATGAACGGTTATTAGGAAACTAGTACTAAACTATTCCAGAATAGATTTTATCCAAAGAAGGACCAACCAATGCTTTCCTTCAAGACATACATGACTCAGACGTTTATTCTTGTGATTGACATAGCATGTAAGATATAAGTTTACATAATCGAGTACCTGAACTTCATCTGATGAACACCCTCCTCCACGGGCAAAAAGTTCTGCCTGCAAATACTCAAGTTGTTGGCGCATCTTTAGCATCTCACTGGACATCGGATCTCTGTTTACCTATTAAGATACAAAGACAAAAGTTCCATTCATGATGCTTTATTAAAGCATTGAATCTCATATGGAAAAGAAATAGAGTTATTCTGAAAAGCTTACAACAGGTTTATTTTGGATATTGCGGGCACGATTTGCATACTTCAGGGTGTTGAGGGTTTCCTCGGCATTGATATCAGCTGGACTAATGCAAGCTATAAAAGGCAACCGTTTAGATGTTAGAGAAACATTACAAAATTTCAAGGTATGACCAATTTCAAGGCTTTGAAGGGAAATAGAACAAAGGAATTAGGTTTTGGGTGGGTACCTATCATAACAGTTCTGCTGTTACCACCAAGCGAGTCCTGTCAAAATATACAACTCTTAGTAACATAAACATAGGAAACATCGGAAAAAAATGAAAGATTAGAAGGCAAAACATGTCCAAGGCCATTCTTAACCATCTCATACACCATACAGGTGTGCTCATCTTCTTAATTGCTTATAGTTAGTACCAGTCAAAATGTCTAACCGATTTCAAATTGATTAAATTACAGGAAAAAAGGCTGGTGTATTGTGTCTGGGAGTCTGGAGAAAAAAGATACTCGATAGAGTCGAACATTTTACATATTCAGGTGCAGGTGCATATTTTCTTAGTCTTTTCCATCTAAGTAATTATTTATTATTCGATGTAGTCATTCAAATGCTATATGTATCTCATTCAGCTGCTGGCAGGACAGTTAATGTATGAAATAATTGGCTTGACTATTTTCACAAAGGAATCTCTGTTTAATGCTCACATTCTTCACTCTCAGGTGAGTAATACCTGCAGAAGGCGAGTCAATTTACTGTCCCGATAGGGAACATGAACACCTTCTTTTCGCTTTTTCTCATCACCAAGTGCACTGATAACGTTGCCAAGTGCAAGAAGGCCCTTGTTGATGTGAACTCCTGCATAAAAGATACAGCTGTTTATAAACCCTACAACAAAATTCACATGCATTAAGTTGTAAACAACTCCACCAACCTTCCTTAAAACGCATGCCATCAGAACCAGTCCTCTTCGCTCTCTCAGATCCAGCAAGATCTACCAAATGCAACTTTGCACACAGATACTCTTCATTCATACTATCATTTGGATTGCTATCACCAGGGAAAACTGGATTGAGCTTGCGCATTTGCTCTAAGGTGATGGTGAAGATGGCATGTGAACGACTAAATAACAAATAAAAAAAATTAATCTGTCACTGAAGCTAGTGGTATCTACTTCAGCTTCAAAAGTAAGAATTTACTCTCAAAGTCTTCAAACCAGCTCGATATAACAGAATTACAAACTGAAAAGTTTATAAGCTCATGCATATAATATTCAACAACAATGCTGCAACTCTATAGTATCCATATTGATCTGAACAGATCATTATCACAAGTCTTTTCCATTGGTTGCAGTTAGCTAAGCCATGAGCATGTAATAATTATAAAAAGCATATGGTACTTTGATGTTGGGAAATGAATACCTAAAGATTCTGATAGCAAGATCAGTAATCTACCTTGATTGATTGTTCATATTGGTGCTTCCTGTTGCCCTGCTTAATGATCCTTGTTCTAGGCAAGCAGCCATTTCTTTAAAAGTACTAACACTAACTTCTGTAGATCCTGCCAGTGTTATAACACCATTTGATGTTTCACGAATTTGTATTGGTGGTTTCCCTGGGAGATTTATTTTCCCTGTTTGCCCGTTTGCAGTATCTGATTTGTTCAAAGTGGTGGGATCCAGCAAATCTCGTACTTCTTCTTTCAGAATCTTTCACATCAAAATCTCTCAGTTAGATACCACACAATTCAAACATTTGTTGAGAAGCATACATATACTAGAAACTAGTGTTAGAAAGATATTTCCCAAAGCATACATATACTAGAAACTAGTGCTAGAAACATATTTTCCAAAAAACTGCAGGAGTACACATATAACTCACACAGCAATTCTAATCAAAAGTCACTGGATTTAGAAAAAAGATATGGCATTAATATTATTTTCAGAAAAATCACTGATGGGAGAGGGAGCAGTCTAATCATTCAGCACAATGATTTAGAACTAGAGCAGTTGTCTTCGAATTTATACAAGCAGTCTTTCTAATGGACATTCTATCAACATAAACTGCAAAAGCAAATTATTAGATGATGTGGATACAGCAACAGACAATATGGCATTAATATTATCTTCAGCCAAATCACTAACAGGTGAGGGAGCAGTCTAATCATTCAACACAATTATTTAGAACTAGACCAGCTGTCCACAAATTTATACAAGCAGTCTTTCTAATAGACGTGCTATCAACATAAGCTGCAAAAGCAAATCATTAGATGATGTGGATACAGCAACAGACGTTTTTTCTTATCTTTCTACAAGCCAGAAATATGATATGCAATTGATGTTTGCATTGAACATGATATTTCAAGAGATATGCAATAGGTTAAAGATAGACAGAGAGCAAGAGAGTGTAACAGAGAGCATAATCGATAACAACCTCTTAGAGTGGCAGAAGGAGAAAAGAAATTCTTCAACGAACCTCAATGAAAGAAACATGCAGTTGGAATTCGGTTTGATGCTTTAAAGCTTCAATCTTGCTGAATAGAACATTCATGACTTGAGGAATTATTCCCATTTGGCAACCATCTTTGAAGCCTGTTCCCATTGTATACGTCTTTCCAGATCCTGTCTGCAACAGATTGAAAAGTAAATACAAGAAAACACATTTCCATGAACAATTTTTGTTCCACTTGAACAGATTTTTTGTGGAAAATAAAGCTTTACCTGACCATAAGCAAGAACAGTCGCGTTATATCCTTGGAATAAACCATCAACTAATGGGGCAATACATTCTTCAAACATAGCAGATGAAGGAGTGCCACTACTCCCATAGACACGATCAAAAGTAAATGAATGTGTGCCTATTTGTACCTGCAACATACCCAGAATCAACATACAATGTCAGGAAAAAAAAAATTAATGACCACACAATCAGCTACCAAAGATATTCAGTATTTTGAGGCATCCAGAAAGCAGAGCTTAAAGAAACTAAAAGTTCCATAACTGTATCACACAAATGCATCTGCAACATCATATAGAAAAAAGGAGTGAAAGGAAAATAGCACCTATACCATCAATTAAATAGCAGAAGATAACCAAAACAAAAATGAATGCCATTCTGATGTATTTATATTTCCTCATCATTGAAAGTTTAAACATGTAAACTTGAACTGCTTATAGAAAGTGCAACTTTGAATATGTGTTTGAGACTAGTCTCCATGGCAGTGATCACACCAATTGAAAGATTTTGACTGGTCCTTCTTAAAGAAATCCAATAAATTATTAGATTTCCAAACTGAAAACAGAAAAGAAAGAGTCACTTTTCATGATCTTCTAATGATAGAGAAGCTTTGGCCAGATCTTACACTAGAATTGCTTGATGCTAGAAGTTGATTGAAAAAAAGAAAACAGAGCACACCTTATGCAAATTGAGAAATTATTAACCAGAATAAGAAAGATTGAACTAATGAAGCAAGAAGGCCACCTTATTACTATCATCATTTTTATATATAATAAAAAAAAAAATAGCAAGAAAGAAAATGAAGAAGACGAAGAAGACGAAGAAGAGAAAAAAAAAGATTGATTCTGCAATAAGCTAAACAGAAATTCCTTAGCAGTTGCTATCTTTCACTATAAACTTAACCTCACAACTTTCAGTCAGTTTAGTCAATCTAATTTTATATAAAACTCAGCAGTTACTGTGTTTGACCATAAACTCAACCTCACAACTTTCAGCCTGTTAGTCAATCTGATTTTACATAAAATTCCTTAGCAGTTACTATCTTTCACTATAAACTGAACCTCACAACTTTCAGTCAGTTTAGTCAATCTGATTTTATACAAAATTCCTCAGTACTTACTGTGTTTCACCATAAACTCAACCTCACAACTTTCTGTCTGTTTAATCAATCTGATTTTACGTAAAATTCATTTGCAGTTACTGTCTTTCACAATAAACTTAATCTCAAAATTTTCAGCCCTTTCAGTCAACCTGATTTGTAGGAAGTAAAATTCAATTCTAAAAGAAAAGGAAATATATGTATATCTATCTAATCAGATTCTACAAGAATTTCCCCAAAAGGCAAACACAAACTGGGCTTAAACAATTCCAAAATTGGAATGTTAAAAGTACATTTTGTACCAGAGTTTCAGCTAATCATCAAAATTTTACTCAATTGAGCATAATTTCCCAGTCATAAAATTGCCAGGCAATGACTTGCTTCTGATCCAAACTCAGATTGTGATAGGTAACAGCAGCACACTATTCCAAGTCAAACATGCGAGACTTCCAGATTTCCAATTTTAGAAGAAGAAAAGTAGTAAAGCCATAGCAATAACTTCAATTACCAATAACATCCACTAAGATCCAGATCTCGAAACTAAAATTTCCACAGAAAGAATGAAAAAGAAAAAAGAAAAGAAACCCCAATAGACTCGCCAAAATCAACCTTAATTGCCTCTTCTTTTTCAATTTTAGTTATTCACTCACTCGCTCTCACACACATTGTGGAGCAGTGGCACTGTACGTACCTGAGGCTTTCCAGAGACAACAGTGACACAATCTTTACAACCTTGAGCGCGCTCATCGGCGATGAGCGGTCTTATATGAACAGAAACTTTAACACAACAATCCTCTCCCCCGTTAGTAGCAGGAGAAGGAGAAGCAGGATTAGGAGAAGGAGAAGAAGGAGCTTCCATTGAGAAATTAGAAAGAAACAAAAAAATAAAAATAAGGAAGTCACAGATTTTTATTTTTAGCTAGAGGAGGAAATGAGGAAATTTACAAAGTTTACTATGTGAAAAGATCAAAGAAAAAAGTTCTCATTGTCTGAGAAATTGGAGAATTTTATGACAAGAAAGTGATACAACAACAGCAGCAGTAAATAATAGTAGGCAAATGATGGAAGAAGCTGGTGGAGAGTACTGTGTTTCAATGTTGATAGTTTAGTTTGGTTAGAGAGAGAGAGAGAGAGAGGAGAGAGAGAGAGAGACAGAAGGGAGAGGGAAGGGGTAGTTGGGGAATTAGCGGCAAGAGGGTGGCATATTAGAAGGAGTGGTAGCTAGTACAAGTGGCAGAGGTAACTGCAAAGACAACCACCACTATCATTTTCCTTAGCCTTCACTACACACACCCACACCAGCCCTGACGGTTGTTTTGGTAAATCTTTCGTGACACTCTTTCCTATTTTGCCCTCCAAACTCAACGTCTCTCTCTCACTCTCACCTTCCTTCTTCATGTTCTTGTCCCTCCGTTTCTCATTCCGTTATTACCGTTTTACCCCTTTTGGACTCTCCTCCCTTGGAAAAAGCCATGCTTTCTTTTCCTTTCTTTTTCCTTTTTTTTTCTTAAAAAAAAAAAAAACTCTATTCAGAATGGTAGTAAGTATTACATAAATACTTCAAGGATGGTATAAAAATAAAATATGCTAGAAATATTTATTTTCTTTAAAAGCCCATCATGTAAGTAACAACAATAACAACTCGTATTATGATATTTATGATTCATGATTGTCTCCAAAATATGGTAGAAAAAAGAGAGAACACAGCACACAGCCCACATGATGTCGAATCATAATACGACTGTGGAGAGATGTTTTCAACACGAGGACGATATGCTTTGCATATGGATTGAAGGCACCATCTTGTGCTTCTCTTTGACTAGTACTATTTTTATTTTCAAAGGATCCATTTGGGCTTATTTTGCTAATTAGAGATGGACATTAATGACCACATAGAAAGTTATTATCAGCCAACTACTGCAAGCATATAGACTGACTTAACTTGTATGATTAAAATTTGTTGTTTGTAATGTTGGGAGTGGTGGGGGTAGCGGTATAGAAGGAAGTAGCAGTAGTAGTCGTAAGGACAGGAAAGAGAGACCCACATATCAGACATAGCCAGCTGGTGGTCTCCCAAACCTCACATGGTTTTTTTTTCAGTTTTGGTTTTTCTGTACAATCTTGGGTGGACCCCACTTCTTTGCCACTTTGGTCAGAACTGGTTTCCGGTCCCATGTTTTTACAGATTTCGTGGCAGTTAATTAATTCATATTTGGAATTTTGCAACTTTTTATAGGATCATCCTTCTTGTGGGCACTCTCTAACATGCCAGACCAGCTCATTTTTTTCATTTAAATCAACACTTCCAGTCACCTCCGTTCCAGTTAGCTAGCTGGGCGCTTTTTATTTACTCTTGTGGGCACTCTCTTTCCTTATTTTGAATATCGATCATCAATCCTACTAGTTCATTTTATTTATTAGCAGGTTGGAGCGTTAATGTACACCTTAATTTGGTGAAATATATAATACTAGAATTAATGTTTTCTAAACCATCCATTTCACTTTAATTTCGGACGTCTTTATTTGCAGGTTCTCACATCAACCTCTAAATAAAGTGTTCTCTCTTCCGAATTATGCAGGGTGTCCTTGACCAGCCAATCGTGTAGTCTATTGCTGGGACGGCATTTGATCGAGCAGCCTAGCTAACTCTATCATATGATGATACAGAGCAAGAAATTGTTGTTGTTTAGGAGTTGAATTGTCAAGATGGTTCAGCTAAACAAAAAAAATAAAGAGGAAACAAGTTCAATCATTGGCATTAAAGTTTTGAAACCAGGACGACTGCATTTTTCATGTATGTATAGTTGGGTCCAGTGAGCATAGGACATGTCACTTTGTTTATATAATAGTGTATTAATTTCATTTGGAGTTTAAGATCTAAATCAGTGGAGCATACCGATTATAATCATGGTGATCTCTACTTGAGATCCATACATATTCATAAAATAATGCGTTTATTAGGAAATTGATAGGTTCTTCTTACCATATCATAAAGCGTGCCTAACCTTTTTAAGTGGGTCACAGCTGAAGCATCATTTCACATTTTATTTTCCTTCATTGTGCAATTGCTAGCAAAAACGAAGAATACCAATTCTTCAAAAAAAAATTAAAAACATCAAAATCTAGACAAATATTTTCCATCTAAGAGGTGAATAAGAAAGTAAAAAATAATTAAATAAGACTGTTTTCGTGCTTTGATGCATTTCTATCCATGTGCGGTAGACTGCAAGTTAAGCAAACTTGTGTGTGGACATCAATTTCTTTCTGCACTTGTCTTTGCTGCTTTATTCACAAGGAAGAAAACAGGGTGAAATAGAGAGGAACGAAGCTGATGCAAAGATCCAAACCCTAAGTAAGTTTCCTTTTCCCAACCTAACTCTCCATTCATTGGATATTTCCCTATCTGACCGTTGGCTTAGATGCAGACCAAACAACAACGACACAGTAAAAGGACCCACTTGATTGGATTAAGTTTGTCGTGACAATTTAGTTGGTGTTTAGCAATACTAAGTTACTTTTAATCTCCCACAATTGAACCAATCTTGCCGACCCGAAAAGAGTTTGAACCCTAAAGTTAATCACTTTAATGTGTTATTGCAATGAATCATTAATCACTTTTTGACTCCATTGTAGATGGAACCGCCTCCTTATTCTGTTGTTTTGTGTATCAATTATTTTGGGGTTTAATTCTGCATGAGTTACTACTTGTTTGGCTCCTGGCAAAAACGTTGGACATATTTGGAGCACATTATCCGTATTGAGAGTACTGAGGCAAGATCCTAACCTGATATGTGGTACGGTCTTGCAAATTATTAAGCCCAACAATTTTATTGCAATAGAAATCTTCACTCATTATATATATAATAGATAGATGTAGAGACATCCAATTTTTGTTCCCCAGCTTGAAGGTGGGAAATGGAAGCCCATCTTACATAGCCAAGGACAAAAATCTTATTCTTGTTTTTTTCCTTTCCTCTACATGCCATGTTAGCAGTAGAAATATGTCATGATAAATTAAATTATGGCAAGGTCCCTCCTATACTTGTAGATTTCGACAATATTTTAACCTGGCAAATCATGTAAGCCAATATGATTCAATAACGCAAATTTCCTTCCTTCTTTCTTTTCCACGAACATGTATTTATAATAAAGTGAAATCAGCTTTCGGCTATAAAAATACCTTCTTTAAATTTGTGTGTTAACCCAACACATAATTCTCATTAGACGGCCATGAGGAAAGCCACTTGATTGGATGAATTGGGCTCGTATTCTAACCTAGTTTGCAGTAGCTTTTTTCTGCTCAAATTTCAGAGAGGAATGACTACGTGTGATTTCTTTATTCCCACCCCTCCATCCCCTCCACCCCCTGCCTTGTTTTCCCTTCTTGTGCATTCTACCCCATGTGGAGCAATGCATCACGTGGTCTCAGTTCCTTTACATCACAGCATTATATTCCTAATCCTTTCTTTTTATCCAAGCTCGCTCCACCATCTTTCTGCCCCCTTTCATTCTGTCAGACTCAGTAACAACCCTTCTTTATTAACTGGAATTATTAACTGCATTATTAAAACTAATTTGGACTACCTTACTATCCAATCGCGCAGTTCCCTGTTAATCAGTGCACTAATTTTTTTAAGTAGTCATTAATTAACATAACATTCTTTATAAGGTTTCATGCATAGAATGGATATGATTCCAATGGCATAATTATTATTGTGGCCCTCTTCTTGTCAACTCTGAATGGAATATGCAATCCAATTGTCAAAAATATGTGTGTTGTGTGCTCCTTTCAATTTTGTCTTCCATCATGTATTGTTTTGGTAAAGACTGCTAGCTATATACCCATAAAGCTCTTGACTATCTTTATCCATGGGCTCCAAAGTACAAAAGCTTAGAATTGTAGAGACACAACATGTGCGAGATTGCTATTGTTCATCATGCGCATGGGTCATTGCTTCTAGATTTGGACTAGGTGGTGATATGCAAGTATTGTATTGCATAGCTCCTGTTTTCTAGTGGGGTTGGCTCCTCTCGATTAATATACAGTCACCGATCAAATCAGATGTGTTCATGATTGTAATGTGGAGAGTCCCACAACTGGAAAGTGCGTGTCTCAACTCAACGAGGACAATGAGCCGTTTCCTTCTCTCTTTTCTCGTGTTTTCAAGTTCAATCACTAGTTATTTTCTATGTCTAACGAATTTTAAGGTCATGTTGTTTCCTTAATACATATATATAGTTCATTCATCCAATTTTCTAGGGTTGGCACTTGACACGGTGATGAAATTAAGTTAGTTTACCGTGTTTTTTTTATTTTTTAAAAAACTGATTTTAGATATACTATCAGCTTCCCGATTGATATATATATGTGTGTGTAATCACTATTGAAATTTCTTTTAGCAATCCAAGAAATGAACGAATGAGAAACAAAAACCCTTAATTATCACGTAAACCAACATTCGAAGGGTTGAATGTGTTTATCTTGGTTTTTGAATTTGGTTTTGATTAATGCTTTAGATGCTAGCAATACAATGTCTGAACCATCTGCACAAGTTTCTGCTAGTCTTTATGTTGCAAGTTGTAACTCGCCAAATTACGAATGAGGAATTTAGCATGGTTCTGACGGATTAGAAAGTTTAATGAAAAGGAACAAAAGAAAAGGAAAAGAAAAGTAGTTTCATTTATATTCAGTCAAACGAGAGAGAGACCTTATGTCCAAAACGCTCAGGCCTGGATCAGCAAAGGCAAATTATCGGCTTTTTGAAATTTGGAAATAGGTAGGCCCATTTACACAATTTAAGTTTAAACCGTATGTGGGCTTCGTTTTTTAGATGTATTTGTATAAGCCCACTCGAATCCTGCTCAGTAGTTGAAGTACCAAAAGTCAACCAATGAAAATTCCCTTTCATTTTCTCTGCAAGCGATAAATGAACTGTCGGCCATGCTTCGTTATATAAAACCCGAGTTTTTAAAGTCGCGTTAATAACACTCTAAATTATCATTTAGCAAAAGAATAGTCTCTGCACAGAGAGAGAGAGAGAGAGAGAGAGAGATCATGTCAGGAGGAGGCATAGCTCGTGGTCGTCTTGCGGAAGAGAGAAAGTCATGGCGTAAGAATCACCCGCACGTATGTTCTCTTTCTTCCATTTTAGCCCCTTTAACATCTATTTTGATCCAATTGCGTCTTATCTTGTGTTTGTTGTTGATTTTTTGGTCTAGGGTTTTGTGGCCAAGCCTGATAATGCATCAGATGGTTCTCTTGATTTGATGGTGTGGAAGTGCATCATACCTGGCAAACCTGGGGTTTGTAATTTTGTGTCTCTCTCTCTATGTTTTTTATTTTTATTTTTATAGATTTCTTTCATTTTTTAATGAAATTGGTGTGACTTACTATGAGAATTAACTATCCTTTGCAATTTCCGACATAGAATTTTATTTCTGATTTTCATATTCTTATTGTAATTAGACTTGATTAGCGAAAGGGTTGTTGAGATTGTTCAGATAATACAGGATTAATGATTGCATAAGTGGGGACAAATGAATAATAAAAAGTTTCAGTCAAAAGGGTATTTGGTAGGTGGAAGGATTATTTATTAGGAAATTGGTATAATAGTGTGAAATTTTGCAAAATATTTGTTTTTGCTGATGCGCAAATAAATAAATTCTATAGGATTTCTTTGGATTTAAAAGAATTATTTTCATGTTCTTGTTTGATTGGAGTGTCTCATCTTCATATGGGATGGGAATGGCAATCCCTTGGTGGTCCTTTTTGTATTCCTTATCATTTCCTTTCAATGCCCTAAGCTGCCAAACTTACAACTTAGAAATGCCATTCATGTCAGTTTCCCTTTTGGTCATGGACTGTTGAACTTTTTACTGTAGGTTTGAAAAATGATTCTTCATTACAGCTCTTAATGCCACTTTAGTAGTCCTTGCTTCCTAAATAATTTCGAGATCCTCAGAGAAATTGAGATATTGTATGAGATTGGAAAATATGAGAGGTCGTGAGAAGTGGGAGATGCTTTGAGGTGATAGCTCTTGTATTGTGCCAGATCAATTGGCATTTTTACTCTTTATGAGAGGACCTGAGTCATGATTTCTATTTTAACCTGTTTAAGTTGCATCTGTTGTTGATTTGATTCATGCGGGGATTGATATGTAGCATTGTTGACCTCATTACATTATTATTCCACCCCCTCCTACAAAGAAAGAAAGAACTGTTTGTTGCTTCTAGGTAGTCCAGAAATGCACTTGCATCAAATCCAGAATTACATGCTGGTTTCTGAATGATCTCATCTGAATGTTAATTTTCTTTAATGTGCAGACTGATTGGGAGGGTGGCTACTTCCCCCTCACGCTTCATTTCAGTGAGGACTACCCAAGCAAACCTCCAAAGTGCAAGTTCCCCCAAGGTTTCTTCCACCCTAATGTCTACCCTTCTGGAACTGTGTGCTTATCAATCCTCAATGAGGACTATGTAAGTAATTGGCTCGCTCTTTCATATGTTGCAAATTACATAGCACAAAGTTTCTGAACACTATTTTTTCTAGGGCTGGAGACCAGCCATTACTGTGAAGCAAATTTTAGTTGGCATTCAGGATTTGCTCGATCAACCAAATCCTGCTGATCCTGCTCAAACTGATGGCTATCAACTCTTTGTCCAGGTTTTAGATCTCTATATTCCACTTAGCTTTTTTGGTTTGAATTGTTCCATATAGAATTTCTATCTTAAGCAAGCATGGCTCTGACGTTGCAGGACCCTGTTGAGTACAGGAGAAGGGTGCGCCAACAAGCCAAGCTATATCCACCTACTCTCTGATGCAATAATTGCTTCACCATGTCTGCAACATCTTAGTTAGATTCCATCATATATGTCCAAATCTCTTTGAAGTAACAGCGTGATTTACTGTTGGTACTAGACTACTTGTTGATTGTCAATTGTATCTATGCTTCCCATTTCTGTACCGAAGGATGCTTTTTAGTCGTGTTTTGCCACAATTTCCCCGCATTGCTAGCTAGCAACATGACATCTTTTGGATATAAAACTTATCTTGATTGCCCATTAAGATTGTTATTTATACCTCTAGCGAAGCAGCATGATATGCGGAAATGGGTTGTATGGAAAACCTTGACCGATACTGCTGAAATTGGTTAGAGCAAGTGTAAGCTTTTGAACAACTTAATTGGATGCTATGGTATATATGAGAGCGTGTATGATCTGAATTACGTTCTTTACACACACACACACCTCTTTTATACGTTTCGAGCATGCAATAACACTAAATAATACTGTTCTAGTTAGATGTCAGTACGTTCAGGACGAAAATTGACTGAAAGAGGCTAGCGTGTGGTTGTGGGATATCAGTCGAGGTTTTTGTGTCGTAGAATGGCAATGGGCGAAGAATGCTGATGCTGTAGCTGATGCCGATTTCTAACCAGGAGCGGTGTTTGGATTAAGACGGCCTCTAATATTTTATACCTTTCACGACAGAAGTTCATAATCGGTTGCTGCTGCAGCTGAATTATTGTTCCTTTCGACAAAGTTTTGCTTGTCTTCGTATGGTTTGTTCATTGTTATTCTTTCAAGTCTTGAATTTAGTCCGAGTCATTGAAATTTTGCAATTTGACCCCATCGGTAATCATTAATTAGAGGATGCTTATTGGGTGTCAATGGAGTTGAAACCAATTGATCCTGGATAAGTTTCAAAGGAAGAGAGCTCTAGTAGTGAGCGGAACCTTGGCTTCAATTATGCTGTAGCACTTTCCCTTTCCCTGTTCATTCACTGTTTTGGTCTTTTTTTTTTTTTTTTTCTCTCTTTTCTTCAGTTGCTTAGTCAGGGAATTTTTTTTCATTTTGGTCCCTGATTTGTCTGTTCCTTCACTTTTCGCCCCTCCTTTTTTCCCTTTTCTTCGATTGCTTAGCTAGGAACTTGTTTTCATTTTGGTCCCTGTTTTGTAATATTTTTTTATTTTAGTCATTAAAAATTTATTATATCACTGTTCGTCTCTCTTTTCCGTTGTTTAGCCAAGCTTTTAGGGGATTTTTTTTTATTTTGGTCCCTATTTTGTACTATTTTTTATTTTTGTCATAAAAAATTTATTATATTTGATTTTTGTCTTGTAATAAATATTAAAATTTTATTATATTTGATTTTTATCCCTAGAATAAATATTTTTTTCTTAGCTTTTAGTAAAAATTTATGTTTTTTTTTATTCTTATTTTGTAATATGTTTTTATTTTAGTCATTAAAGTTTTATCATATTTGATTTTTATCCTTACTATACTAAAACGAAATAAAGTTTATCATCCTAATTTTTTTTTTTTTTTGCTTTTAGTTAAACTTTTCTTTCTATTATAATTCGTGCTTTATGATTTTTTTTTCTTTGTTTGGCCATTAAAATTTAATAGAATTTTATTTTTGTTTTATTCTCTATTTTGTAATTGTTTTTTTTTTATTTTGATCATTAAATTTTTATTATATTTGATTTTTTTTCCTATAAGGAACTATTTTTTACTTTTAGTAAAAATTTTTGTTATATTTTGATGTTTGTTTTTTTATCTTTCTTTTATTTTGATCGTTAAATTTTTATTATATTTGATTATTATTTATTCTACACTAAAATTAAATACGAGTTTCACTATTCTAAGTTTTTTTTTCTTTGAGTAAAAAATACTTTCTATTTTGGTTCTTATTTTGTTAATTTTTTAAAAAATTTTGGCTATTAAAATTCTATCATGTTTTACTTTTATTCATAACTTATGCATAATGAATTTTTTAAAAGTTTTTTTCTTGTTTATAAGTTTTTTTTTCTTTTAGTGAAAGTTTTTTTATTTATTTAGATCATTCTTTTATGATCTTTACCTTTTTTTAATCATTTAATTTTATAGTGTAATTTTATCTCTATTTTTTGTTAAATTCTTGATTTGACAAAACTTTTTTGTCTTTTTGTTTTTGATGGTCTCCGTATCTCATTAACAAATTATAGTTGAATAATATATGGTAAAAATTAATCATCTAAAATTCAAAAAACTGCCGTATCATTATTTTAATTATCAGTTATTATACATATTTTAAATAAAATACGTATTTATATCAAACAATATCTAATTAGCAACATTTTATTACTTAAATTTGCGGACTTTTCGTTTAATTAACCCTCCAGCTAAATATGAAATATATGTTTTGATTCTTTTTGTAATTTTTTTCGCATGATCATTTTAAATAATTATCTTTAAATTTTATATTTTATATAAATAAATATATAAGACTGTTGTATAGTTCACTTTGCAGCAATGTATGGGATATATGCTAGTATTTACTAAATGAGAGACACAGACCGTATTGGGTCTGGACTGATGCCCAAAACACCCAGGCCTGGATCATCACAGACAAATTGTTGGGTTTCTGAAATTTGTAAATAGTTAGGCCCAGTTGCACTCGTTAAGTTTAAACCGTCTGCGGGCTTAGTTTCATTGATGCATTTGTAGAGGCTAGCAGAGTTAAATCAGTAGTGCCAAAAATCAACCGATGGAAATTCCCTTTTCATTTTCTTTGCGAAGGGTCTTTACTTTTTCTTTCGTTTTTATATCCTTCTAGTTTTTTAAAAAAAATTCATCTTTTTATATTTTATTTTTATGTTCATCTCGTTCTTTTGTTAATTTTTTTTATTAACCGAGTAAATTCATATTGTTAATTTCATAAAATTATGAGACGTCAATTTTTTATTTTTATTTTTTGTCTTAATGTGATTTTTTTTCTGTTTAATTTTATTATTTTTAGTCCATTTAAATAAATAAATTTTGAAAAAAAATAAAAAATTATAAAAATATACTCCCTCTAAATTTTTTTAAAAAATAAAAATATTTTTTATCCAAAATATCCTTTTTAAACTTATCTCTATAATAGTAAGTAAATTTTAAGTTTAACATAAACTATATATAGAATTTTTTTTTTAAATATGAAGATAATTTTAGTTAAATTTTTAATCTCTTGAATATAAATTTTTGTTAGTGCTAGAATCAATGTTAACGAATTTTTTAATTTGACTAAAATTTATAACAAAATTTATATTTTATTTTTAAATCAAAATAAGTAAATTATAATTGACTATTTGATGTATCATAAAATTATAAATATCATTTAACAATTTAAAATTTTAACTAAGCTCTTTTTATATTTAAAAAATAACTATAAATATTTTATTTTATACTCAAAATTTGTTTACTATTATAAAAATAAATTTAAAGCCATAAAAGTCATTTTGGATAAAAAAATATTTTTAATTTTTAGAAAAAAATGACCAAATATATCTTCAATATTTTTCCATTTTTTTCAAAATTAATTTATTTGAATTTGTAAAAAAAATCAAGATGAAAAAAAAGTAGTGGCAGATTTATACAGAAAAAACAAGTTAACACGTGTCTTAATTCTGCAAGGCTAATGGTGGAATTTAATAATATTATTTTTAAAACTTAATTGAATGATGAGATTAAGTCAACAATTAAGTATTAAAAACGAAATAAAAAGCAAAAAGACAATAATAAAAACGAAAGAAAGAATAAAAGATCACTGCTGCATTTCTGCAACCATTAGCCCTATCAATGAACAGTCGGTTCGCTTCGGCACATAAAAACCAAGTCTTTTCGAGGCGCGTAAGAAACACTGCTGATTGCTAAAATTGTTTAGCAAACAAATAGGCGTTGCGCAGAGATAGAGAGATAGACCGAGATCATGTCTGGAGGTGGCATAGCTCGTGGTCGTCTTGCTGAAGAGAGAAAGTCATGGCGTAAGAATCACCCCCACGTATGTTATCTTTTTTCTCTTTCTTCCATTTTTGCCCCTCTAACATCTATCTTGATTCAATTGGGTCTTATTTTCTGTTTGTTTGGTTTATTTTTTGGTTTAGGGTTTTGTTGCTAAGCCTGATAGTTCACCAGATGGTTCTCTTGATTTGATGGTTTGGAAGTGCATCATACCTGGCAAGCCTGGGGTTTGTAATTTTGTCTCTCTCTAGCTTTTTGTTTTTGGTTTTTCTAGATCTCTTTCATTTTTGTATGAAATTGATTTGAATTATTATGGGATTTAACAATCCTTTGCAATTTCTGATCGTCATCAACTGATAATTTGTTTTATTTTTATTGTAATTAGATTGGTTGGTTGAGACTTGAGATTTTTCGGATATGATTAATGACTGTATAAGCGGGGAAAAATGGGTAATAACAGGTTTAAGTCAACGTGGTATTTTGATGGTGGAAGGCTTATTTATGAGGAAATTGGTACAGTAGTGAGAAATTTTGCAAACCTTTGTTTTTGTTGCTGCACAGATAAACTAATTTTGTAGGATTTCTTTGGGTGTAAAAGAAGCATTTTCACGTACTAGTTTGATTCATATTTGTTTTTTGTTATGTTTTTGGTTTACGGGGAATAGGTTTCTTCATGTGGGATAAGAGTGGCAGTCCCTTGGTGGTCCTTTTTGTATTCCTTCTCATTTCCTTTCAAGCCCCCAAGCCTCCAAACTTACTACTTAGAAATGTCGTTCATGTTAGTTTCCCTTTTGGTCATGGACAGTTGAACTTTTTACTGTAGTTTTGTAATATGATTCATTACGGCTCGTAATACCACTTTAGTAGTCAATGCTTCTTAAATATTTTCGAGATCCTCAGAGAAATTGAGAAATTGTATGAGATTGGAAAATATGAGAGAACGTAAGAAGTGGGAGAGATGCTTTGAGGTGATAGCTCTTGTATTGTGCGAGATCAATAGGCGGTTTTACTCTATGAGAGGACCTGAGTCATGATTTCTATTTTAACCTGTTTAAGTTGCATCTATTGTTGATTTGATTCATGCGGAGATTGATATGTATCATTGTTGACCTCATTACATTATCATCCCACTCCCTCCTACCAAAAAAAAAAAAAAAGAAGAAGAAAGAGTGGTCCAGAAATGCACTTCCATAAAATTCAGCATTACATGCTGGTTGCTGAATGATCTATCTGAGTGTTAATGTCCTTGATATGCAGACAGATTGGGAGGGTGGCTACTTCCCCCTCACGCTTCATTTCAGTGAGGACTACCCAAGCAAACCTCCAAAGTGCAAGTTCCCCCAAGGTTTCTTCCATCCTAATATTTACCCTTCTGGAACTGTGTGTTTATCTATCCTCAATGAGGACTATGTAAGTAGTTGGCTCACTCTTTCATATGTCAAATATTACATAGCACAAAGTTTTTAAACACTATTTTTTCTAGGGCTGGAGACCGGCCATTACTGTGAAGCAAATTTTAGTTGGCATTCAGGATTTGCTTGATCAACCAAATCCAGCTGATCCTGCACAAACTGATGGCTATCAGCTCTTTGTCCAGGTTTTATATCTCTATATCCCAATTACCAGCTTTGTTTATTCATTCCATATCGAATTTCTCTCTTAAGCAAGCATGGCTCTGACTTTGCAGGACCCTGCTGAGTACAGGAGAAGGGTGCGCCAACAATCCAAGCTATATCCACCTACTCTCTGATGCGATGGTTGCTTTACCATGTCTGCAACTTATTAGTTAGATCCCATCATATATGTCCAAATCTCTTTGAAGTAACAGAGTGATTTAGTGTTGGTACTAGACTACTATTTGATTGTCAATTGTAGCCATGCTTCCCATTTCTGGACCAGTTGATTGTCAATCTCTTTAGTCGTGCTTTGCGACAGTCTCCCCCATTGCTTGTTAGCAACATGACAACTTTTGGATATAAAACCTATCTTGGTTGCCCGTTAAGATTGTTATTTATACCTCTAGCGAAGCAGAATGATATGTGGAAATGGGTTGTATTGAAACCATGACTGATACTACCGAAATTGGTGGGGCTTTTTTTTTTTTTTGGTGTGTGTGCGTGTGTGAATAACCCTGAAATTGGTTAAAGCAAGTGTAAGCTTCTGAACACCTTTATTGGATGCTATGTTATATATGAGAGCGTGTGTTATCTGAATTACATATTCTTTTTACATTTTTTTTATATGTTTCGAGCATGCAATAGCACTAAATAAACACTATTTGAGTTAAATGTCAGAGTAGGTTCATGCGAAGCTAGAGAAGGAAATTGACTGAATTGGTGTGGTTGTAGGAGATGTTTTTTTGTACTGTAGGGTGGCAGTAGGTGAATGATGCTGCAGCTGCCGCTGATCTCTTCTAACAAGAGGCGTTGTTTTGATTGAGCCGGCCTTCTAATATTTTACGCATTTGATGACAAATTCACACTTGGTTAAAGGTATCAGGCTGTGCCAGTTTGGCTGAATCTTGCGCTTATTTTTATTTCTTCTAAGCACATTTTGACATGAATGTTTTGTCCAATATTCATTTCAATTAGAATTTGATTATTCAACATGTTCGAAGATCCCTCTAAGCATCCATGGCTGTACGGTTGAAGCACCCAACTCATAGGTTTAATTTCTATCGAATGCTTGTTATAGCATCCAACTCATAATTGGTGAATTTGTGGGTTCAATTTTTACTGGGTGCATGCTAATTATTTAGCAACTTGTGACAATTTTTTTAATAACACAAGGTAATTCTATAATTTTATTAAATATATAGAATGATACTTTTTTTTGGTTATATACACACACACACCATTATAATTCAAATAACAATACTTGCACTATTGAAAATAAACATGATTCATAACTAGCACAAATGTTAATGACAAATTAAATTTTAGTTTCACCTAATTTTAATTTGCAACAAAAAAAGAAAGGAGAAATAAAAAAAGGTATATGTTAGGATCATGTAATTATTTTTCCTTCAACAAAAAGATATCTATCAATATCAAGCTATTCTTTTTCCTCCCCCTACATGTTAACCGAAGCTCTTTCAAAATTAGTAAATATGTGTGTGCCTGTAAATATACTAATAATATAAATAATCTCGTTTGGCTTTTCTTGGTTAGCAATCATTAATTCTTAATTATTAGCAGTTTCATACTAATTAACAACCAAAGTACTCATCTAAATTAAACAATAGAAACTGAAGTCTAAATAATTTGAATGGTTAATTAAAATATCCAAATTAATACATGTATATTTTTTTAAATCCAAATTTGATTGGCTTCGAGTCATGCAAGAGTATCCTCAACAACCGAGAAAGATATATATACAATAGCATGAATTCAGTCGCAATACAATAATAATAATCTTTCGACGATGGTTTTCTGCATTGAAGTTCTATATATCCATTCCAAGAACACCAATTATTTTGTTCTCGCCATGTTCCAAGTTGTGAGCTATATATGTATAGTATAATATATAGTACAGTACCATATGCTCTTGTCGGTCTATTTTTAACACCCAAAAAAAGCGTGTAATGAAAGATATGTTGCAATGGAACAACCAAGCTAATTACGCAAAATCCAAAATGAACGGTACAAAAGACAGCATTTCTTTTTTCCAGCACATCCATTACTGGTAATCCATTAATTACCATCCGGACTGGGGTTGCAGGTGAGATGACTTTCTAATATTATGCAGTTTGGTACCAGACTAGCTAGGTAGCCAGGGCATCTTTCTCCTTGCTGTTCATTGACATAATTATATGCGTACAAATACATTTATGATGGCATAACTTCGGATTCCTTGCCTGAGAGAGACTTGCAGCAGTAAAAACAATGCATATACAATTCATCGTTCCAAAATATAACCTAATCTCTAGGTTTAAGTCACAGCTCATAGCAAATCTATAACTTCTTTAACTGCCTCCTTCTCTATATACTTCTTCTTCCCTACACGACACTTCTGTTCTGTTTTAGCAGTAGTGCTCTTCTTCATTTTACACCTCTTCTTTGCCTTTTCTTTGTTAAAAGCAACATTATTTTATCTTTCTTCTTCTAAAACCGATTCTTTCTTTGATTTTTTTCTTTAAATTTCAATTGAATTTGACAAAAGATTGAAGCTTTCAAACACAAGTCTAATTATCAATGACGGTGCAAAGACAATAGCTTTATTTCTTATAAATAACGGATATAGCATCCATTAACATTATTTAATGGTATAATGGTCGTTGCATAAGTGAAAACACTGATCCTTATCTTGTAATGTTGTAAAATAATACGTATACTATCGATTAACGTTTTTCAAAACTATGTTTGTATCAATTGAATTGACTGTGCATCAATAAAATGCCTAATGAATTGGCGTGGCATATCCATATCATAGCATGTGAACTCTAAAAATTCATAAAGAAGAAAATAGATTTATAAATGTATCAAATATGCAGTATTTACAAATAAAAAATATTTGATTATTAGAGAAAAATCAATATAATTCTAACCAGGAATCAGATCAAGTAGAACAGAAATAAACATTTATTTTATATATATTGCTTGCATGCGTGACATGAATGTGGTGCCCGATAGTCATAAAAGATGAAGATGGATAAGAAAGCATTTTATTTTATATTTACTGGCTACCGCTTGCTTGTGTAAAGCATACCTGGGTCATTGATATTTGTTAGAAAAGTATGCAGAGGACCTTCCTTTCCTTTCTGCAGTGATTCCCAGTGCGCCGATGAGTGATTCACCTTGATTCTCCTCGTTCTGTTGCATATTTGTACGTTCTAATGTCCTCAATTAGGACCTTCATGTCATTATAAGACGATCCACCTTCTTCAACTGCCATCTTAGCAAACGCTGCTAGTCTACTTGCTTGTTTCCTCATATCCATTGCTTCATCTGTGTCACCCATCACAATCCTCACCGCCTTCTCTATTTTGATTCTACTTACCAATGGTGATTCCTCAGTTGCCCACACTTTCCAAGTCTCATTACCGACTGGCATTCCAAATTTAAGCACCTGAGTTATCAGCTTCTCATTGTAAAATTGCTCTGCAAAAATTGGCCATGTGACCATGGGTACACCGGCACAAATGCCTTCAAGGATAGAGTTCCAGCCACAGTGAGTTAAAAACCCTCCAATTGCTGGGTGCTCCAGTATGAGCACCTGCGGGGCCCATCCCTTGATAATCAATCCTTTGCCACTTTTCGTCAATTTATCCTCGTATTCTTCTGGCAGCCACCAGTCTTGCTGCTGATCCAGGTTGTTGTTATCTTCATTGTCAGATTTCAGAAGTTTTCCTACAGTCCAAATGAAAGAGTGCCTTGAATCTTCAAGTGCAGTAGCAATTTCTGATATTTGAGTCTTGCTGAATCTGGCCAGGCTTCCGAAACAGATGTAGAGAACGGACTTTGGTTTCTTGGAATCTAGCCAATGCAGGCAGCTATGTTTACATAGTGAAGCCCTGTCACCTCTTTCTAGTCTATCATCAGCATTTCTAATGAACTGAGATACAGGACCCAAGTGCCACGCCTTTATTCCAGTGACTTTTCTGAAATGATCAGCATAGGCTGGCTCCAACTCATAATAGCTATTCATCAACACTCCAAAGCTCTTCCTCTCAGCCTCCTTCAGCTTATCAAATAAAGCGGAGAAAACTTCGTTTCTGCCTTTGACAATATCTGGTAGTTGTGATCTTGTAATGGTTACTTTGTCTGGCAAACCAGGGATGACAAATGGTTCTGTGTCAGACGTAACATTATTGTGAGGTTGATAACAATCAATGCTATTTGAAACACAAAGATTGAAGAATCCGCTGCCACTAAATGCAAGCCTTGGTATGCCAAGTTCAATGGCAACATCAGTGGTCCATGGGAAGAGATAATCAGAGGCAATGCAGTCAGGGCGGTGCTTTTGCAAGATCATTTTAATCTGTGGTTGCAGCAATTCTATTCCGTGAAATAGTTTTAAAGCCATTTCCGGGGTCGCTGTGGAGGATAAATTTTCGCAGCCTTCAGGTAAACCAGCTTCTTTGCTAGGGAAACGGAGAGTTGCCAACGAAATCTGTCGACCAGATTTGATATCCCAATCAATGGCATTCTTGAACTGAGCGGCATTCATGGTGGTGATGATTACGGTGACCCTTAAACCGTTTGCAGTAAATAGCCTGGCCATGTCTAGCATTGGCATCATGTGGCCTGGTGCCATGTAGGGAAGGAACATCACATGAAGTTGTTTTTCTTCTGAATCCATGGTTGATAACGAATTGAGAGATCTTGCGAATGGAGAGGTAAAGGGAAGCACAAGATTGTAGTTGAGAGAATTGCTGAATCAAAAGAACGTGAGCTTGTCAACGGTTTGTTAGTAGGAAGAGCGTGAACTAGTCATGGAACATCTGATCTGATGTTCCTCATATTTTTGAGGAAGATCATTTAACAAATTGGGTGACACAATTTTTCGGCATTATGTATGGCCAGCTGGGATGTTGACGGGATCAACCATATTTTCGTTCGTTCAACTTACAAATGTTTCATTTCGGTCTTTATAATATAATTTAGAAATTCTCAATATCGACCTTTTAATTTTGTAAAATTTTCCAACTTTTCAGTCCCAAATGAAATAGCTGAGGCCAATTGTAGCAAGTCGGGGTTTTTGGTGCTCCACAGTTCGCCCGTAATCTATTTTTGATCTATAGAAAAAAGTCTCTTCATATCTTTTTTTTTTTTTTAAAAGATAATTGGAGGTGGATACAATTGTTATTTTTTGACCATATTGACAATATACATCGCATAGATTGGTACTAAATGATCACATTATTAAGAAAAATATTCTTATATTATGGCTCATGTATCATATTTTGTTTTAAATCTATAAAAGACAATTTAAAGATTTAGAACCCAATAAAATTTAGTGGTAAACTAGACACAATCATGATAGATGGAGATACAAAATTAGGTTAAAGAATGGATCCTTAGTCTATTCATATAAATATTAAATAAAACATATATTTTCTATCAATATACAAAATCCTAAAATATTGATATAAACTAAAAAGCTCTCTCCTTAACGATTATAAATTTTATTGAACAATATTTTGAGTATTTAATCAATCATTATAAAAGATATATATCTTATTATTTTTTATTATTTTTTTATGCTAAGGCATGTATAATTTTCTTATATGTAATATCAGAGCGACCTTACTGCTATTTTGATTAGTGGTGCATAATCAATTTTAATGCATATATGGCACATGCAATTGAACAATGATCGTATAATATTTGTGTGACAAGTGGCGGCCTACAAAGATGATCGTTCATCTTTCTTGCTGCATGATATAGTCAATTAATTGTTTATAAGATTCTGTCGAAAGAACAAGGAGATTTTGACAAACTTTGCTTATGGTCAAAGTTGTACAGTTTATATATACATATATCCTACTTGTCTAAATTATACACTTACTGACTTGAAGAACAATGAAAATCGTAACATGTTTTGTACCTTTTATTTAACGATTTAAGGCACGTATATGATTCATAAGTCCTTGACTTGTTAAAGTCCTTAATCCGTGGCGCACGTTCTAGGCTTTAGGTTGGTCATTATAAATCTTAGGTATACTAGTCTCGATTTTTACAAACAACAGTGCAAATCATATATTTTTAAAGCATGTATATAGTCTATATGGTGTAAACTTGTTGATTTCAAAATAACTGTCCATATACAGTATATATTTTCAATAGACTCAATTGTTTGCTTGTTTAACATAAAACAATTTTTTTAATTTTTCACGCATATATTATAGGTTTTGTTTAGCATAAGTTATATACAAAAAAATTATTAACTATAATAATAAATAAATAATGACATGGTTTATATTATTATTTTGGTATATCAACATAGAGTTTTTAGCCGATATTAAAGTACGCTATGTTGAGACGGTGACGTTGATTGAATTAGGAATAACCACAACATCTTAAGTTATTTTTATGATTATATTAAAATTCATTAAATTAATGTTCTCATAAAGTACATAGCTTAATTTGTAATTATTTTATAAAAATAATAACTTGGCCCCACGGGAGGTTGTTATTTTTATGATTTAATTTGAATAAGATAATAAATTGATATTAAGAATAGATTTTAGTTTAGACCCTCAAGTGTGAATATTTTTTATTCTTGATATTTTATTTATTAATCTTATTACTAAATAATTAGCAAATTCTATGCATGATGTAACATCTACCCGCAATAAGGTTAGAATTTGCTACTAAATTGACATTGATTAATTTAAATAAAGTATGTTTTTTAGTGTTAAAGTCTTTTCTTGGTTATTGTAGCTTTTCCTATGGCTTTTATTAATACATCTAGTGTTCCAATAGTATATGGTGATAATTTTGCTGATTGAAAAAAAAAATATTCTCTTTACATTGGGGTGTGTGCATTTGAATTTAGCCTTACGTATGGATGCACCACCCATCCCCATGGATTCAATTGATACATAGAAAAAGATTAATTATGAGACTGTGGGAGTGATCTAATCGTTTAAATTTAATATTCATAAAGTCTCGTATAAATAAGAATATTAGGGGTTCAATCCCTTAATGCCTTAAGACAAAAGATTTCCTAAAGGTCCGTATTGGAATAATTTGTTCATTCTAAGGCATTAGCCAACACCTTAATAAAAAAAGCTTTTTGATAAGTCATTTGACTATTTTGAAAGTGTGCGTAAGCAAGTTATGAAATTACTACTCAATTAAAGTCTTTAGAGGGGGAGATTTCTAAGTCATTCTTGGTGCAGTTCATTTTGAACTCTCTCCCAAAGGAATATGGTTTGTTTAAGTTTTTTTTACATTAAGAGAGATCGAAACTTGAGAAACCTACTCGCTTGGTTGGTGTAGGTTTTTTTATTCTATATTGTATTGGTTTTTAGTTTATTTGTGTTCAACCAATTTCTTGAGTTGTGTCTTCTTTCATCTTCCTTTTCTTTGATTTGAAATGTAGTTTGCACATAGACATATTTTCCTACAAACTCTATTTACAACGTTTTATCTTTCAAAGACTTTTTCCCTTTTCTTTTTTTATAGGTCGCCTTGCTCTTGATTTGGATATTCCGATTACTCTGTTCAAACTAACAAGTATGCTTTATTTTAGCTTTCTTTGTTGGTTGCCTTTTCTTTACGCATTATACTCGTGTCGCTTTTTATTTTTATTGTTTATGTAGATCTATTGCATAATCATTTTTGCTTCGTTCTATATGTTATATTAGCATTCTATTCAAGATACTTTAGTTTTTTTTTTCTTATCATTTGATGAAAAATAAAATAAGTTTTGAAATAGATGTAGAATATCCTTCCATCATTATACCATAAAGAAAGAAATTAGGATTATTAAGATCTTCCAACCTCTTTTTGGTAACATGTTTTTTCTCTCCGACCATTAAGAAAACCAATTACTTTACCATGTTGTTTGCCTTCATGTGTTAAACATTCCATATTTTGAGTTTTGTTCCCTTTCGTAATGCTTTTATTCTATAGTAAATCATTAAAATGGGGAGATCTATTGTTGCAAATTATTTCTTCTTAGTAGGACAAATGAATGTATTAAGGACATGTAATAGCTCTTTAAGAAATGCTAAATTTCTTATTATGATCTAACTAGCTCAAAAATACTCAAAGACAGTTAACAAGATGGATAAATACAAAGCAAGCACAAAAAACAAGCTATGAAATATGAAGAAACCAAATGACAAACTACACCATACGGATTGTCAATTCTTGAATTTCGAAACCATACATGTAGAAACAGACTTCTCTCTTTTTTGTTTCTTCTATTTGGCATTACTATTGTGATTTCCATTTGATTGGAATTAATTGGATTGAGTTGCAATTATTTTCATAAATTATCTTGAAATGCTCTTTTTTTCCTTTTTTGCAGCAGACTTCATACCCTTTTTTGCTACTCATTTTGTCTTGGAGACCATGATTTGTTCGTCCCCGAGAGATGTCTAACTTCCTTTTAAGAAATGTATTGTTTTTTTTTGTTCCCGGCTTTTAACAAATCATTTTGTTGTTGTTCTTTACTTTCATGTTTCTTTTGTTGTGCTCTTACTTGACTTTTTTTGATATGTTGATTTGTCGTTGTGGTTTAGCTTTTTTGTTTTTTCCGGGCTCTTTTTCGTTCAATTGTCTTCATTACATCGGTGTTTGCTTGCTATCTTTTTATCAACCCCGTGGTATCTCTTCTTCCTTGCAGCAAAAATTTAGGAGCTTATGAAAGGCATATGTTTATGTCCAGATCTTCTTTGTTTTCATGCTTCTTCGTTGTGCTCTTGCTTACCTTTTTTTGATGTGTCGGTTGCTATTATGGTTTATCTTTTTTGTTTTTTTCAATGTCTTTTTTTTTGCTCGATTATTTTCATCACATCGGTGTTTGCTTACTCGTTTTATTGGCCGCCATGCGGTTTCTCTCTTTCGATTTGTATGGTTATGAAAGACATATGTTTATGTCCGGATCTTCTTTGTTTTCATGCTTCGTCTGTTGTGCTCTTGCTTATCTTTTTTCGATGTGTTGGTTGTTATTGTGGTTTACCTTTTTTAGTTTTTTTCGGTCTCTTTTTTTTGTTCGATTGTTTTCATTACATCGGTGTTTGCTTGCTATTATGTTGGCTAGTCATGCGGTTTCTCTTTTTCTAATTTGTATGGTTACGGAAGACATATGTTTATGTTCATATCTTCTTTGTTTTCATGCTTTTTTTTGTTGTGCTTATGCTTACCTTTTTTTGATATGTTGATTGTTGTTGTGGTTTACCTTTTTTGTTTTTTCAGCCTCTTTTTTATGTTCGATTGTCTCTATTACATCGGTATTTGCTTGCTATTTTATTAGCTAGCCTTGCGGTTTCTCTTTTTCCTTACTACCTTGTAGCAAAAATTTGTATGGTTATCGAAGGCATATGTTTATGTTCGATTCTGTTATTATAATGGGGTTTTGGGATACAATATTTGTTAATTTTTAGGTTGGATTGTTTGAATAAAAGTATAAGATATAGTTTCTAGATTGAATTTACTAACACCTTTTTAAAGTATTTGTTAGTTTTTTATGGATTAAGTTGGTATAAAAGAAACCACTATAAACAAAAAATAAATTCACTTAAAAAATACATTTACTCTATATTAATAAAAAAAATAAGTTTTTCTTTCTCACACTCGCATCATACAAATCACAAACTATGCATATATAATGGATGTCCGACTGCAAGTATAGCATAAGTACCCACCAATAATACTAGAGGATACGGATTAGATAATAAAAGCCAATCACGTTAAGTTTGTAATCGTAAACGAGATGTGAAAAAATTAAAACAATATTTATTTTGATTAAAAAAAGATATAATTTTAATATCGAAACAAAATTAAATAAGTTCTTTAGATTATTTTCTTCAAAAGATGAGGAGAGGTTATTAATTTTTATATTTCTCTAATATTTTTAGTATTCCATTAATTAGAAAAATTATTGTATGATCATGTGATAAATCTTTTTGTCGCACTCATTTTATCCTATATACCATACAATTTATTATTTTTAACAATTGACATTCCATCTAATCATTAAATATTATTTATATGAAGAATTAAATTATATGTTTAATTAAGAACATTAAAAATAATAAAATTATTTTTATTTCAAGTAACACGATGATCCGTCACCACTTACTACACGGTAAATCTATAAGATAATTCAAAGCAAAACGAGAGTTTGTTTTAAAATAGAAGTGGCAAGGAGCCATGCGCCGTTGTCATGCCGGAGTCCATTTGGAAACAATGACGTGACCAGTTTTCCAAGTTTCGAATATTAAATTATTTGTCCAAGCCCACCAAGGCACAGACTACGATTTTGACTTGTTCTGTTCTTGGGCGAAACGGTAATTGAGGTCAACCTTGTGGTCCTATAACATGGAGGCATCAAGTATCAGATTGATTGCCGCATCTTATCTTGACCTTTGACGTGTTCCAGTTAGAAATGAAGATCACACCGGTGTTCTGATTTTGCTTTGTGTTTTCATGTGTTAAAAGTCTTCTTTGTGTTGTGTTTCCCTCCTAGTTGGAGGATGATCCAAAAATTTATCTACATGAGTTCAATTTTGAAATTCATGTAGAAGAGAATTTTTATTAATCACTTAAAAGATAATTTTGATATTTTCAAATAAACTCTATCTTCTTTTTTATTCTGAAATCAGATTAGGAAAGAAGCTAGAGAGAAAAAGAAGAGAAAAAAAGGAGCGAGAGCCACAACTTTGGAGAGAAAGAGGAAAGAGAGTTTCAAGCACGGACCAGTCACGTTAAAATTGAGTTTCTGGGTTCGTTAACCGTTGGATCGAGCTCAAATTTGGTGGGCACGTTCAGGAGAGGCAGGCGCACATTCTGGACGGTGGAGATCGGGGTTTGAGTCCTGGAGAGGGAGATATTGTGCTCGTAACAATGTTGTTTTTTGATGAAATCTGAACTTGGTTTCTTCTACTTTCTTTGTGTATCATCTTTTGATGTGATTTGCTAAGGGTGTGTAACCTTTGATGTTTGTGGTTGATTATTCATCTAGTTTAATCTAGAGAGAACTCCTTGTACCCATTATTGTTAATAGTGGAAGTTATAGTGGACTCCGGTCCAGTGGTTTTTTCCTTCTCAAATTGAGGAGGTTTTCCACGTAAAAATTTGTGTGTTCTTTGTGTGATTGTGATTGATTGCTTATTTTTCAGATTATTAGTTACTTGTTTAGCTTGGGTATTTGGTTGTAGCCTGTGGTTGATTATTCAAGCAAAAGCAAAGAGGTTCCGTTGTGTTATTTATGTTTCTTTGCCCAACACTTTGTTATGATGATTGATTGTTATTTTTGTATCATTATCTTCCAAAACTTTCACAAGTCACCGTCGATGGTCAAATAACAGATAATTTTGTTTCTCATGCTACAGATTCAAATAAAAGAATTTTAAAGACTCGTGAATGTTAATGTATTCGTTTGTATAAGGATAGGTATCCTTGTATATTACATTATTTATAAATGTAAAAAATCAATCAATTATAAATTCTTTATATTCTCTAATATATTTATTTGTCAATATTTCTGTTAAAAATAATGGTCATGTGTGTATTACGAGATAGTTTTGATATAAACAGATAAAAATATCTCTTTATTTATTTATTTATTTATTTTTTAATAACAGTCCTGGGTACCTAAGTGACAATTTTAACATATAAGCATGTTTACGCAAGTTTAATCCCAACACCAAAATGTTTCTTTTTCATTTTCTATTTATTTGAAAGAATATTAAAAGTATCACGTGTCATTGATTTTAACGAAAATAATTGACAAAAAAATGTACTATAGAATACGAGCAAACTGAAAATTACGATTGAGAAATGATATAATATATGAAAACATATTGATAGATTTTTCTTTATATAACCAACCTCGAAATTGTTTTAAAAAAATGCACAAAAGCAAGCTTACCGAAGATCAAGAACATCAAACTTCATCTTGGAATTCATATAAACATGAGAACAGTGCTCATAAATCGGGCTTCCATCCAAAGCCTCCTCATGGGGATGAAACCCTCTCTGCTGGCAATTACGAATCACAGACACACCACTTGGATCGGATAAAAGAAATATGTGATCTCTGGGAAATATTGATTTACAATAAAGAAAGAAAAAGGGTTTACAAAAATTTCTTTATGAAAAGGGCAAAAAAAAAAAAAAAAGCGGATGATGGATTAGAATTCCAATGAATATGCGTGCAAAAAGCAATTTAGTAATTGGAAAGCTGGGCATCTTATATTTGAACCAACCCGAAAAAGAACGAAGGTGAGAAAAAGAAAAGAAAAGCATCTCATCTTTGTGCCTTTTATCCATTCATTCATGACTTTTTCAAGTCTCAACGCATACTAGTTTTATTTCCTGCTGCTCACAATTCAAAATCAACATTCGTTTACCATCCTCCAATTATATTTGCATAATTTTGTGGTTTTATATGGAGTATTAGCTTAATATTTAGAACAAAAGGCCCAGTAATGATTCCTGATATTGCCATTCTTCTGGCATTAAAGAACAGGAAAAGTATAACACAGAATTTAGGTTTTCTTTTTACTAACAAAAAGAAAACGATTGATAAAATATACAAAAAAAAAAAAAAAAGAAAGAAAGGAAGAAAGAAAGAAAGACCACAACTTCAATGAATATGGTATTGGCTTTGGGCTTTGTACAAGTTCACAAATGTACTTTTGATAATTTTCTGAAAAAAGGAAGTATGAGTGAGTACTCCTCACAAAACCTGTTCCTATGTATGCATTTCAAAGTTTTTGTCTCTGATGTTAACTACCTAGCAAAGAGCCAAAGAGCAATGTTTGGAGGAAAAAGAAAAAGAAAAAGAAGAACAAGTATTGGCTGAAACTATAGAGAAATCCATCCATATACAGCAAATTAATGCCACTCTCACACGGAACAGAGGAAACAATGGTAAAAATGGTTAGTGATGCTCATGTCTTGCTTTTAAAGCTTGGTGTTTGGAGATCTTCCAGTGCCATTATCCAAGACAATTTCAAATAAATCAGCCTCAGACTCGTCATCGAAGTCAACTCCTTGGTTATTAGCTCCATTCATGTGGCTGCCCTTAGTGGTACTTCTATTGAGCCACTGGGAGTCAATTCTTCCCATTGAGAAGAGCTCCTTGCTATCCTCATAGCCCAAAGTAGGGGATTTTACAAGAGGGCCAATGAAGCAAGGATTTGGTGTTCTTTGAGCATTTGCTTGTGCATAACTAAAGGCACTTTGTCCAAAATTGACAAGAACCACTATGTCATTGTTTGCTGCAATTGTTGGGTAGAGGGGTGTCCCAAATTCCTCTGACTTGCAATGAACTACATGTAGCAGCTCCCCATCTACTGTGAAGAACACTTGTTTTTGCCTAGGATCAAATCCACAGCCAATTACCTTTTCTGTTCTTGCCCATTCTGCTTTATCGGCTTCAAACACAAGTTCCATACCTGAAAGAGAGGAAACCATGTGAATTAATATTAATTTTAAAAATAACTCCTGGTGCCAAAAAAATAATTGCATTTAACTGCTATTGATTTAGTCTTTAAATAACACAACTCTTATTTATTGAGCCTAAATAGTTTATTTCCTCAACATATTCATACCTACTCCAATACAAAAAAAAATATATATATATATATATATATATAGTCAGAAACAACTACTTATCAATTCAAAATTCAAGGTTATGTCATATAGTGGAGGTCCTCTCATTAACCTTTCCCTAGTTTCAGAGATACTTTAGGTTAGAAATGTATTAATCAAGTCTTCAACTTTGCTTAGTTCTAGCTAGCTAGTTCAAACAGGAGTAAATATGTTGCTACATTTCATAGATTCACAGCTAGCCCTTTGAACTTATTAAACTGTAAATTAATTGCAAAATTCGATTCATAACTTAAAAATGTAAAATCTTTTCCAAAAGGGTAATTAGAAGAATAAAAAGAGAATTAATTTACCATCAAGATAGAGAGAACCATTGGAGTTAAATCCAATGGATCCTGGATAGCTTCCAGGAAGTTTCAAAGGAAGAGCGCCTCCAATAGTGAGCCCAACAGATAGCCTAACTGCTGAACCTTGACAATCATCTTTACCGGCAAGCTTCAATTCTTCAAGTTTGCTGATTCTGTGGTTGCTACTTACATGTACTAGAGATTCTGAACTCGCTTTTGCATTAGATTTTTCTTGGATGAGTTTAGCCCTCTCTCCTTCCTTAGCCTTGCCAGCAGATTCTTGATCATCGCCATGACAATACAAGACTGTGATCTCAAAATAGGCCTCTTGAGGAAAAGATGAGTTTCCCAATGGAGGCCCTGGTAAAGGCAAAGCAGTTCTAATTACAGAAGCAGCAGACAGAGAAGGATAGCTTACATTAACCTTCTTTAACCAGGAATTCAGCCTTATCTTTTGCATAAAATCAGCTGATCCTTGAGAAACTTCCCAGCTTATCTCTGTATCTGCTTCTCTTCCATAATCTCCAGCGGCACATAAACCTAAAAACGATGATCGTGTGGAAGGAGATGACACGTAGCTTGTGAAACCAAATCTAGACCATCCATTTTCGACCGCGTCAGTAATAAGCGCCGGATGATCAGCCCAATTGAACAAAGGTCTTGTAGAAGCCCCGCGACGAAAAACATAATAATTTCCTCTTCTTTTGTTTTCAAATTGATCAGTTTGATGATGTAGACTCCCTTGATGAAGCTTTGCAATCCCATCCTGCAAGCTTGCAGTTCTATTAGTTCTTAACGGATCAATAATACCTCTACGGTCTTGGAAACAATAACATCGCCAAACTACCAAGGCAAAAATCATTGAACCAACTACAACAGCACCCCCTCCCAACCAAACATTTAACAATAGGAGCATTTCTTCTTTTCCCTGCAGATTTTGTTTTTTGTTTTTTTTTTTTAAAGATTACTTGGGGGTTTTCCTGAAGAAATTTTTTTATAGAGAAAAGGAGAAATGTAAGAAAAAGAAGATGGTTGCGAGGGAAAAATGGCTTTGGAGGCGTGGACTTGTGACTGGTTCAAGAAAGGCAAGAGGGTGGTGTAAGCAATGAACAGTGCGAAAAATGTGAAGTTAATGAAGTTGGCATATTTAGAGAGATGTTATCATAAACGTTTTTTCCTTATGGTCCAAGCAGAATTAATTAGTATAAACCGGCAGTCTTTCTTCATTAAAAAACGCGTAGGTTTGTTTCCTTTTAGTTTTCAACAGCAGAAAGAAAGAGAGGGATGCTTGTAATTAAGCACTTCTAAAAAGCCAAATGTCCAAGTCCAAATACCAATTCTATTTTCTTGTCTGGTATGTGGATTTTTGGGAGGGAACATTGGGGCATCTGCGATACCATCAAGATGGAGACTGTCAAAAAGGTTAAAAGGCAGACCACAAACATAAACAGAGGAACAAGGATTTTATTGTAGGCTTTGTTGGCAGTTATTTGTCGACTGGCAGTTAATCCAAATCCCATGTTTGTTCACTTTGTATTTTCTAGTGGTGGCTTCATCATTCAAGCTACTGTGGAGATCATGGTGCCAAAAATGCAAAACATGAGTCTATTTCCTCCACAACTTGTTATCCGTTTTTTTTTTTTTTTTTTGGACATCACTGTTCATCAGGAGGAAAATTTTTTGTCTCTTTGGAAATGAGCATGGACCCTGGGCTTCGCAAAAGGCCACCTGTGCTAGGTAGAACCATACAATGAGCGGACGCCACTCAATCCTGTATTTACCGAAACGGGATAATTGCATTATAAGCATATTATTTTTCAAGTTTTTCCAATTAAGTATATGAGTTCTAATTTTTTTATTTGAATGCCTTGATTTTTTTAAAATTATTAATCAATTTTTTTCGTTCAACTCTGTAGGGACCCGTGTCCGGACTCATTCATGATGGCATCCCAAGCGAGAGAGACGCTACTGATCAAACATAACGTACATATAATACAACTCAAATCAATCCAAACATAACTCATTTTCAGGTCCTTAAAAAGAATTTGATCCAACAAACATACATGACTTACAATGCAAAAGGACACCCTACCATGTTGCTTCAAAACATAAACTCGTATAAATGTTTGAACTTTAGTCATAAACATTGAAACAACACTTTATCAACTAATAAAAAGGCAAAAGTTAAGATATACAAAAGGCTCTTAAAGTCACTTATGTCTAACATTCAATTAGACAAAAGGACATGTCACAAGAGTTCGTTCAAGGCGCTCCGATTGCGGCGTCAACATCCACGGACTCCTCACCTACACCGCATGACATAACAAAATGAGCTAACACCCAATAAGCATGGTCTTGCATGACATTTCGTAAACTTTCATGATGCGTGTAAATATATTTTTCCTTTATGTGGTTACCCAACTAGACGTTATGTCTAGTCCTCTTTGCCTTTACCAAAACCTTTACCTTTCATGCGTATGTGATTTTAATGCATTTCGAAATATGTAAATCTATGCTCATGACGTGAATGTATAGGATAATCTACTTTAAGGCTCAATTAATCACATAACATATTATCACATAATACATAACAATGAATCAAATATTTACTTACTACATTCAATCGCATAATACACATCACATATATGGTCATTGTGGTGAGTTGAACCATGCTTACCTTGATTCCTTAGCACTTCAACAATATTCTCCTCAAGCTAATCAATTCCTATAATTAAAACAACCAAAATATAACCTCTAATTAAATTAATAATTTATCAAAATTCTCATACTCTACAATAGTCCCAAAGTTCATACATCACAAGTCATCATCTTTCAATCTTTTTAATAACCAATATTCACAAACCCCAATTCCGAGCATAACATCACATAATTTCCCAATCAATGAAATCTAACCATTTAAATCTTAATTTTTTTTAATAAAACACAAGCCCAAAGCAAAAAAAATCATCGGTTAATCAATTAAAATCACTTAATCAATTTTTTTCTCAAAATTGGGTATCGACCCTAACTTCATCAATATCACTTCAAAAGAAAAATCCATCACAAACCAACATCAAAACACCATATAACATCCAAAAATAACCGGAAATTATGGCAAGAACATACCTTTCTCTTTTGGGTTCGAAATTAACCTCTAGAACAACAAATCTTCAAGCTCTAATTTTGCTTAAAACTCACTTTGATCATCATAAATATCATAATACAAGGTTGTTTAGTGATGAGAAAGGTTACAAAACAAGTGTGAAGAAAGGGGGTGTTTGGTTGGGTTATGGAGAAGAAGAAAAAGGGAAGAGAAAAAATGGAAAGAGAAAAAAAATAATGGAACTCGTTGGTTCCAACGAAAGGCATAAAGAAGGGATGTCAAAATTATAATATAGTCACTATAATTATATCTAACTTTTAAATTAGTCCTCCAACTTTCAATAAAACTCATCCATATCCTTAAATCTATTCAATTAGCTCCAAAACACCTTACTCCCCTTAATCTTCATGAAACATATAATCCAAAACACCATAACTAAAGGATAAACAATTTAAAAAATGTCATTTATATGCATAATATATATAAAACATACAAAAACAAGCATACACATACATAATATGGAAAATTTATTTTGGGTGTTACAATCCTCCCCTCCTTATAAAAATTTCAAATCTTCTAAATTTCCTTATCAAAAATTTTTGGGTATTTAGTCCTTATCTCTTCTTCCCTTTCCCATGTAACCTCTTTCATACTATGATTCCTCCACAATAGCTTCACTAACACAATCTCTTTGTTCTTTAGTTTCTTGACTCGCTCTATCCAAAATCTCAATTGGTTTTTCTTCGTAAGTCGAGTCCGTAGCCAACTCCAAAGGTTCAAAACTCAACACATGGCTTGGATCCTCAAGGTACTTTCTCAACATGGATACATGAAACATATTATGAGCTTCGGATAAAGATGAAGGAAGGGCTAAACAATAAGCTCTATCTCCTACTTTACATAAAATCTCGAATGGTCTAATAAACTTCGGGCTCAATTTTTCTTTCCTTCCAAACCTCATAACCCCCTTTATTGGTGCGACTTTCAAAAACACATGGTCACCAATCTCAAACTCTTAATCTTTTCTTCTCTCATCTACATAACTTTTCCGTCTATTTTATGCTCGCTTTAATCCTCAATTGGATCTTCTCTACCATATATGCTTGTTTGTTGAACTAGTTTAGGTCCTAATAACTTTCTTTCACCAACATCATCCCAATGAACTCGACGACCTACATTTTCTCCCATACAAAGTCTCATATGACGACATCCCAATACTAGCTTGGTAACTATTATTGTAGGCAAACTCCACTAAAGGTAAATACTTTTCTCATTTAATGGACTAATCCAACACACAAGCCCTCAACATATCCTCTAAAATCCGATTCACTCTCTCTATTTGCTCATCACTTTACGGATGAAAAGTCGTGCTGAAGTCCAATCTGGTTCCCATTATTTGATGTATACTTTTTCAAAAATTTAAGGTGAACCTAAGAACACGATATGACATAATAGATACTAAAATTTCATGCAACCTCAATATCTCTTTAATATACAACTCGCATACCGAGTTATGGTAAAAGTAGTCTTTATTGGCGTGAAAATATGCTCGATTTAGTCAACCTATCCATAATCACCCAAATTGCATTTGACCCTTTTTCTAACTTTGGCAACCCAATCACAAAATTCATAATGATGTGCTCCCATTTCCACTCCGGAATATCCAATGGTCTTAACAACACCGATGGTTGTTGATTTTCTACCTTCACCTGCCGATAAGTCAAACACTTAGAAGTAGTTTCAGCAACATCTATCTTCATCCTTTTCCACCAATACATAAGCTTCAAATATTTATACATTTTTTCACTTTTCGGATGTATCAAATAAAGAATAGTATGAGTCTCTTTTAAAATCTCTTTCTTTAAATCCTTAATTGCGGGAACACATAACCTACTTCGATACCTTAAAAATCTTTTATCATCCATCATAAAGCTAGGTTTTTTTCTTCTTCTACTTCTTTCTTCATTTTGATTAAATCATCATCTAAAAGTTGGCCCTTTTTAATCCTTTGCCTCAAATTCGATTCTATCACCAAGGTAAATAATTTATTGACACCACACTTTGACACCACTTCCAAATCAAGCTTCTTTAAGTCTCTCAAAATCATTGATTGTACCACTTGTAAAGCCGACCCGGACTTTTAACTTAAAGCATCGATTCATAACATTAGCTTTACCTATATGGTAATGAAGAACAATATCATAATCTTTCAATACCTTAAGCCACCTCCTCCGCCTCATATTCAACTCCTTCTAAGTAAAGAAGTACTTGAGACTCTTATGGTCGGTGTAGATCTCACATCTAATCACGTACAAGTAATGTCTCTAAATTTTCAAAGCAAAAACCACTAAAGCTAACTCCAAATCATGAGTGGAATAATTTTTCTCATAATCCTTCAATTGCCTTGAAGCATAGGTTATCACTCTCGCTTCTTGCATTAACACTACCCCAAACCCTATCTTTGATGCATCGGTGTAAACAACAAAGTTTTCATTATTCGATGGAAGAGTTAAAATAAGAGTCGTTGTTAATCTAGATTTTAACTCTTAAAAACTCTTCTCACAATCATCATCCCATACAAACTTTACATTCTTCATTGTCAACTTCGATAGTGGAGTGACTATTTTTAAAAATCCCTCTACAAACCTTTGGTAGTAACCGACTATACCAAGAAAACTTCTTACTTCCGACATATTCTTCGATTGCTTTCAGTTTTGCACTACCTCAATCTTATTCGGATCCACCATAATTCCATCCTTGGTAACCACATGACCAAGAAAAGATACTTACTCTAGCCAAAATACACACTTATT